TAACACTTGTGAACTATTCTCTTGAAATTGGACTTATATATAACCCTGGTAATACTAATTATAAAAAATTTATAGATACATATGAAGCACAGTTACAGAAACGAAACCGTATCATCGTTTTTGGTGATTTTAATATAGACTTACTTACTAGAAACAGAAATACCACTTTATACAAGAATCTGCTTCAGAGACAAGGTCACAAGCTATTGAATAAAATTGACCCGATGTATTGTACTAGAGAAACCCATACATCAAAGACAATAATTGATCATGTCAGTACAGATTTACTAAATGACAACTTTCACTTATCAATATTGGATTTACCTTATGGCTGACCACAAACAGATTTATTTGCAATTAAAAAAAATTAAACCAACTCCGAAGCAGCGAATTCAATATGACGCTATAAATTATGAAAATTTATTCAAAAGTATAGCAGATGTCAACATTAAGAATCCAGGTTTTGAATACACAGTTCTTGATGACTTAATAAAGCAAAACGTTAAAAACAACAAAATAACAAAGACAAAAATTTTAAATGCTCCACGAAATGACTGGATTAATAAGGAAATAATTAATATTATAAATGATAGGAATGACCTGTGGAAGAAATACAAAAATAACAGAGACAATTCTCGTATAGAAAATGAATTCCATAAAATAAAGAGTCTGTAACAAAAGTTATTAAGAAAACTAAGGATAGTTATTATTACAGCCAATTTCTAAAATGCACAAATCCAAAGAAAATGTGGAGTCTATTGAAAGAACTTGCCGCTAACAAAAAGAAAGATACCATTGTCCCACAAAGCTGAATGTTAATTCATATATAATAACTGATCCCATTCTCATTTGTGAGTCTTTTTAATAATTTCTTTTCTACTATTGGGTTAAATCTCACTAATCATCTACGTAATAAACAAAACAATTTCAATCTAACCGTACCAAATAACAACATACAAATTATTTTAAATATTCTTAGACCGTGTACAGCTCAGGAAATTTCCCAAATTATTAACAATCTTGACCCAAACTGCAGTTCAGGTATAGATGGCATCACAACCAAAATCATTAAATGTATTAAAAGTCAGATTCTTGATAACTTAACGTCCTGTCTTAACGAATTACTCAGGGACGGCAAGTTCCCTGATAACTTAAAGATCGCCAAGGTCAGTCCAATATACAAATCTGGGCCCAGAGATGATCCAGGTAACTACAGACCCATCTCGGTATTGCCGGTTATGTCCAAGATATTAGAAAGAGTTTTATACACGCGCTTATTAGACCACCTAAATAATATAAACTTTTTATACGAACACCAATATGGATTTAGATCAAAATCTAATACATTATCAGCTACAATTAATCTCATTACAAAAATTAAAACTAATACCGACCAAAGGAAAATTGTCCTTGTAGTATTCATTGATATAATGAAAGCTTTCGACACAGTTTGCCACTCGCTTCTCGTAGAAAAGCTGGAAACGATTGGAATAACTGGCAATGCCTTAAAAATGTTCAAATCATATTTAAACAATAGATCCCAAGTAGTTAAAATTAATGATTGTCAAAGTAAACTCTTACCTATCTCTTGTGGAGTACCACAGGGATCAATATTGGGCCCATTATTGTTTTTAATTTATTTAAATGACATACAACACCTTAACTTGCATGGACAGATAACCTTGTATGCGGATGATACCTGTCTCCTATACACTGGTTCATCTGTGCATGATATAATTTCTCGAGTGCAAAAGGACCTTGACTATCTTTACTTGTGGTTTCAATCGAAATTGCTAACTATCAACACTGCTAAAACATCGTACTTAATTTTTAAACCTAAAAATGTTAAAATCCCACCACATTCGCCTATAACAATAAATAATGTACCACTAATTGAAAAGAAAAGTGAAAAATATCTTGGATTATATATTGACAATAACTTAACATGGACAACGCACATAAATCATTTAATAACTAAATTATCTTCTTTAAGAGGTTCCCTTAGACACAAGTCGAAGCCTTCCTCGTGAAGTTCGTCTTCATTTTATAATTTTTGGCAAAATCACTCCTTCTTTACCTTATTGAAATTTGGGGAGCCGCGACTAAAACTAATATTTCTACCTTCAAATTGCTCAAAATAAAGTAATTAAATTGCTTTTTCATTACCCATACTTAACTTCTACACAAAAAATTTACAGTGAAACAAAACTCATGAATATTAAACAATTATTCCAATATAACACCAGCTTACTAATATACAAAATTCTAAACGACCACATACATACTAACATTACCTTTACTAAAATAAGCCAAATTCAGAAGCGCACTTCACGACGCCCTCACAATCTTGTTATACCGAAGTTCAGAACTAATAACGGTAGAAAAACATTGAGCGTTGGGGGAGTGTTGCGTTACAATAGACTACCACAAAATAAAAGGAGACAGCGGCGATATTCAAACTTAAACTAAAAGACCATCTTCTGAGTGATCCTAATTACCTACGCAAATGACAGTCCACCAAAATTATACTTCGATGATTGATCCTTGACGCTTAAACACGACGTGATAAATTGTATTTTTAGTCTATAAGTCTATGTAAGTGACCATTGTCTGTAAGAAAAATAAATGTCTTTTAAACCTAACTTGATTTTGCCGTATTATAGTGTGAAAAAGTAGCTTTTAACAGGTGTCAAACGACAACAAAAAGTTTTTATTTGTTGTTTGTTTGAGGCTTTCGTCTAAGGAACTTCTGTTGAGCCTAGTTGAATTTTCATTCTAATATTAAAAAATCTAAAAATAAATAAACAAATAATAAATTGTTTAAACGTTTCATTATACAATGCCAGACTATTAATTTAGTGCGTTGCGTTGACTTGAAATTAAAACACAATACATATTTGTGAAATGACAGAAATCAGAGATTGACTGACTGACGCCATTAAATTATTCTGGAATAGCTGTTATTCCGTGCGAAACGGCGGTGTAGTAGCAATTCCCGAATAGGCCCACTATTCTTAGAATTTTGGGTAAAACGTAAAATTGATTTACTCCCGATTAACTGACGATTTATTCTAAGATTAAGATTTACTCTTGTTTGGTCGAATCGACCCTAAATACAATATACTATACTCTAGGAAGTCTTTATTTTTTCCTTATCAGTCGGTCTAGTATTATTTTAAAATTAAAAAATACCAAAAATATCTATAACTATAAACGTTTTATGATATATGAACGCCGTTCACGTCATATCGAAAAGTCAGTACAATATGGCCCTGGGAGTAACATAAAGATAAGGAACAGATTAAGAATGAAATCATCTTCTTCAGCATACGTTACACGATATTTTTAAACTGTAATATCAGCGGTATGAACCTGTATATTTAATAACGTAACCTAACTCATTATTGCTATTAGATTCGGGAAGGACCTTAAAGACTTAAGGTAATTCCTGTTCATATAAAAATGGCTATGTTAGTATATGAACTCAAATTAGAAAAAAAAAGCTACTTTAAATTTAGACGTACACGTGTTTTGGGTGTTATTTAAATAGTATAAAACTGTATATTTGTCTAATGATTTCTTTTATTTTTTTAATTTTATAAAATGTGTTTCATGTTTGTGTTTAAACGTGTATTTTATTGGCTAATATATATTGTGTATTTGTATGGATATTATTATTCGAACTAAGTGTAGAAATGAGCACAGAGCGAGAGTAGTCTTGGCCTAGTGGTTTCAGTGTACGACTCTCATGCTTGAGGTCGTAGTTTTGATCCCCGGCTATGCACAAATGAACCATGTCTATGTGCGCATTTAAAATTCGCTGAAATGGTGAAGGGAACATCGTGAGGAAACCGGCTTGCCTTAGACCCAAAAAAGAGTTGACAGCGTGTGTGACAGGCACAAAAGGCTGATCATCTACTTGCCTATTAGATTGACAAATGATCATGAAACAGAAATCTGAGGCCCAGGCCTAAAAAGGTTGTAGGGCCACTGATGTAATTTTTTTAGGTGTAGAATTACTAATAATAAAAATCAGTGTCTTTGAAGAAAATAAAAAAAAAGGTGGTAGCGGAGTAACGTCTCCGATAAACGATTTTTCAGTTATGCATATTGATTTGGTGAACTAACAAGACCTCCTTACCTATGTGTCTCTTCTATTAACAGGGATACGATTCTTTGTGTGATCTGAGTTATAACAGCATAGTCATTTGTTTGTACGGAATTATCTGCAGAAAAATATAATTGAAATGACTAGTGAACGACACGCGCGGATGCCACGTCAGACATTTTTTAATCGAAGTTAAGTCACCCGGTGGTATTGGCTGATAACGATCTTTGGTTTAAAGGGCTAATATAATCAACACATTTGTTCTATTGTTATGTGTTCATCGATTTATTATAAATGTACCGATTTATATGGCTCATTCCACTAACATCCCAGAAGTAACATAGGCTATGTTGTTCGAATTTTCTAGATAAACTAGCAACTGTTATTACAGTTGTACCATAGGTTTAAGCTATTCGTAACTTGGAGAGCCATCTGCGGTGCTTTTAATCTATTATAGGTAGAACTTCGACTGAACACAATCCGGTCAAGGTAAGACCTCGACCTAAGCTTTTGTGTTTAAACGAGCGTCTCTACTTCACTCCTTTTGTATTTTCGTAATACTCCTAATGTTATTATTATCGGTAAACTTTTACCGCAGTAATTATATTTGGAAAATCGATCATTCAAAATTAGCGTTTATTTCAATTTTTCAAAATTAGAACACTGAAATATTGGCGTCAAATTTATTATGTTAAAAAAACTCTTTTTAATAAATTACTTTGGAATTGGTGCTTGTGCAATTAGATTTAGATTCTCCTATTGCAGTTTAGTATGAAAGCTAAGATTTAGAGAGAGATTACGTACCATGTTCTAGGAGTAATAAAATAGAATATTTATATGTACGAGATGAATAACTTATGATTTGTTTTTATTTCAGTATGTCACAGAGAAAATGGGAGGTGCTGAAGGCACAAAACTGGATTTGGATTTTATGGAAATGGAAAGGGTAAGCATATATAATAGCTTAACCTACGTGCATTGACACTTCTTGGTCAAGGACTTCTATTGTTCGAACGAATAAGTTCCTAGGACATGCTAGTATTTGTCTGAATATTGGGCCTTTCCTCGCCTCATATTTATTTATTTATATTTTGAAATATAATAATAATAAAAGTTTATGCATAACAGAAATATGGTTGTAACAAAATTGATTGATTGAACGCTAGTCCGGTGTTGTGGGTAACAATTAAAAAAAATATTTATTCCGCAATGCAGTTTTGCTACGCGTCTTATATTAGCACTAAGATTTACCAATGCGGGCGGCTTACATAATACAGCGCAGCATCAATACAGACGCCAGCCACTCGAATAAATTACGTCGATGCATTAAATTTTTGACGTAAAGAAAAACCTTCAAATAAGTATTTCAGATATGGATTTTTCAATCGGGTACAAGTTTTAAATTATAGTGTCATAAGAACAAAAAGTAGTTTTTTGAACAGAAATAAAGATACATAATTATAATTTTTACTTGTGAATGTTACCTTTTTAATTGGCGACGGACTACAATTCAGATGATCATTAAATGTATCAGTCCATAATGAAACACTATATTGTTACGCTATCAGATTGAAAAGCCGTAGACCGCTTCAAGTGTTTGTATAAAATAAACAATAAGAAATTTAATTGCAAGAAAAAATACTGTATATACACCACCACACTTTCATCAATTAAGGCGCACTTAACAGTCTCGCAGTAATTAATCTCTTGTCTTACTCATCATAAACCACATTTTAATTTGCTAAAAACGTCTTTAAGGTGCAAAAAATCGAGAATTTTATTCAATCCGTCTTCGTAACAATGTCATACAAAATATCCCTTACACCTCTTACTGTAGCTTATACCTACTTTTATGATTTTTACGTTAATTTCTTATCATTATATTTCAGAAAACAGACGTAACATGCGAACTAGTGGAAGAGTTACAAACTAAGACCAAGGAGTTCCTACAACCAAACCCAACAGCCCGAGCCAAGATGGCGGCTGTAAAGGGTATCAGCAAACTGAGTGGGCAGGCCAAGAGTAACACCTACCCACAACCTGAAGGTGTGCTTGGTGACTGTATGCTCATGTATGGAAAGAAACTCGGAGAGGACACCGTCTTTTGTAAGTAATGAATACTTTTCTTAGGCTAATAAAATCAAAAAAATCAAGGTTTTTGAGAAAAATTATTATCGGGTGCCACAATAATAGCGTACCCGAACTTTATATAAATCAGATAAATTGTTATAATTGTATATTTATATATGTATGTTTTCGATAGAGATATGTAACTTTTGGTTAAAATTATGTTGTGTAGTTAAAATAATTTATCGTTCGTAAATGTTTTGCTAGTGAATCAAAAAGGAGCAGAAACATTTCTTTTTTCTGAATTTTTTATAAACTTGTTGCAACACCCTCCGTTCAATATGCATACTTACAACTTAGTTAAATCACGTAATAAATACGGTTGAAAATATTAAAAAACAGTTTTTTCATCTGCGATAAAATTATCTTAATTTTTTTCAGCACAATGTATGATCGAGATGGGCGAGGCTCTCAAACAAATGGCTGACGTGAAGTACTCCCTGGATGACAACATTAAGCAGGGCTTTCTTGAACCCCTACACCATCTGCAGACCAAAGATCTCAAGGAAGTCATGGTGAGGCCGAATTGATATTTTTAAATAATAACTATTAAAGTAAACGACCACTATATATAAACAATTAAATCAAGTTTAAATACTAAACCCTATATAGCATAGCCTTACAAATAAAATTTCTTACTATAAAAGAAACTAATGATAGCAAAAAGATTCATTATTCAAAAGGCACTACGGGCACGCCGTTGTGGTAGTAAGACAATAATGAGGGTTACGTTTTTTCAGAAGCATAACACTTATCAGCCAAGTAAAATGGCATGCAAAATATGGCTCATGACAAATACAATAAGTATATAATATAACGAAAAAACCAATAACAATAAAAAATATAATTAATTAAAATTTCATGTCAAAGCGAACTTGCAAGAAATAGAAATGATCTTCTTTTTAAATTCTATAAAATATCGTAAACCGTAGCTGACTAGATTATTTATTAAATATATTTACTGACTCACGCAGTAATTGGAATGTTTTGTCAATTTCGATTTTAAGTAAAAAAAACTTTTTCGGAGCTTAGCTTTCTAGCGCCAGTTCTTATTATATCTTCACGGGATTATTGTATAAAATAATATAAAAAGTCTTGGGAGAGATATATAACATCCTTCAATTATTATATCCTAACGCAAAGGACATTTACAACCCCAGAGGGCTCGCAAGTGTGTGTTGCCAGTGCCAATTATAATTGTTATAAAAATATGTTTTTAAATGCTTATACACGCTGTAATATATATTAAATTTTATATTTTGAAGGCTAAAAATGTTTTTTGACATTTGACTAATCGTTTCAATTACAAATAAATTTCACATGACTACAAGATAGCTTTTTACTGTAATTTGTTTTCTATTTGACAAGGAATTTGTTTCTATTTGAAAACACGTATACGAGGTTTTTAGTTTTATAATTGTATGATATCTTTTCGTATTGTTTACTTACAGCTTATACAAATTAAGATAAAACTTGTGATAGTGTTTCGTTAATTAAGTCTTTTTGTAAATTGCAGCATCACCGTAAGAAACTTCAAGGGCGAAGGCTAGATTTTGACTGTAAGAGACGAAGACAGGCTAAAGGTAATTAATACTTTATTTCTAATATTTTGTGATCCTTGTATTATAGAAAATAAAAAAAATTATATAAAATAATTTTCCTGAGAGTAAATTCATAACACTAATTTTTGGGTTCTATTCAAAAATACCAGTCGTAATTTTCTGATTTTTACAAAGCCAATGTGATTTCTGAGCCTAAAAATATTCTCTACAATTACCAACTTTGTTGTTTTTCAACTTAATATTTTTTTTAAATGTTTTTAGAATTTCCTATGAATTTTTTTATTGGTCTTTTTAAAATGTGAACGTAAAGTCTTTATTAAATTCGGCTTAAACTATATTTATAAGTTTACGTTTAATATACAAAGGTGTCCGGATAGGTCCTTACGCAAGTCCGAGTCACGGGAGAAGTGGTGAGATATGTATGGCTAGGGTACTTGGTGTTGCCAGATGAATAAAAACAATACTACATTTAAAAAAGTAGTCGTATATAAATATGTTAGAAGCTATATTCAAATGTAGGTTGTATTTATCTGTGGTGGCCACATCATTTAAACCTTTAGTGAAAAGCTACTGAGAAACATCTATCACAGCCTTTAGAGTCTGTACGGAAAGACGAAACGAAAACAAATTAACCTTTTTTTTAATTTCGACAACAGTGTTACTTCGACTTATTCTCAATCTTGATATGATAAAATTAAATAAATATAATTTTGTGAATAAATGTAATGTGTGAATCTTTTTCCATACAGACTCTAACTATTATCTATGATTTGAAAAACTTTGGGTAAAAGTTTAAGTCGAGACTTAGCGCGAACCGTATGTCAAAGTACGAAATTTTTTGACAAAATCTAATAGTCTATTTTAATGTTACATGGGCTGAACATTTGATAGAGGACGCAATTTTATTTATAGGACATGTAGGGGGTGTCAATACCATGGGGGGGATGCCACGTAAAAAAAACGCGCCGACAGACTCTACCTCATAGGTGGCAGGGAAAAGAGTCAAATTGTTTCCAATTAACGAAATTTAAAAAATTATAGAGGAACATCTTCAGAAAGAGATCCTCTACAAACTTGAGTTTAAGCTTGTATTGACTCCCCCTACATGTCCCATAAATAAAATTGCGTCCTCTATCAAATGTTCAGTTTGGCCTTCAAATTGTAACATTTCAATGGACTATAATGTGTTTGACGAAATTGAATATGTTTTTGACTAAATTCGATATATTTTTGGCATATGGAAGTCATATTTAGCACTAAATGCCGGCTTTAAATCTTAGTCTCACCTTTAGTGCTAGATTGTATAAAATATCATCTTATACGAGACATCAGTTATAATATAAGCTTGTTTTTTTTTCATGTTCCCGTTCCGCCCTTGCACCGAATCTCCGATCGCATTATTCAACCTTTTTTCTTTGGTCTGTATTTTTTATTTACAACCATTTTTATACTTTTATTTATCGTGTTTTGTTGTCATATTTCTAATGATGTGTGGAGTTACATACATCAGGTTCTCACATTCCAGACGACGAGATCCGTCAGGCTGAAGACAAGTTTGCAGAGTCTCTAAGCCTCGCACAAATTGGCATGTTTAACCTTCTCGACAATGATGTGAGTAGATAGGCCGTATATATTCAAAATATGTGATACATATTTATCAAACTAATCATAGAGATATTTAAACGGAATCTCGCCCATAAATGGGATCTATTAGAAATTTTGAATTCAATTTGATGACGTCTTTACTTCTCTAGGTTGAGTATTTTTATAATGCATAGCAATAATCTAACATCAAAACTAAATGAATTTTGACACAATTTTGCAATTATTCAGGAATTTATAACTAAGAATATTCAAAAGTTTCTCACGCTTTAGCTATTTAAATAAACGCTGGATTTTTTAACGAAAAGAAAATTTTAAAATCAAACGCGTGTGCATCGGCTGCAATATTTCGGCATCTTTATTGATCATTCACCTGATTTTGGACCGGAAATATTTATTTTCGTCGGAAATCGAATACAAGAGACATACCTTACACACATTGGTGTGTTATTAACTAATGACGGATGCGGCCCAACTGTACTGGCCAATTCACACAATTAGTCGGTAGTAATTTATTTCTATTTGAAGAAAACCTAAAAATATTTACGATATACATTTATAAACTCTCAGTCAAAACCGTAGAATCAAGTTATATTATATTTTTTCGATTAGGTGGAGCAAGTGGCTCAGCTATCGTTCTTCGCAGAAGGTCTTCTTGAATACCACCAACAATGCACGGAGATTCTCAAAGGACTTGTATCTACGCTTATGGAGAAGTAAGTTTTTATACAAATAATAACAAATGCATTTCATTTGCTATTGAATTAATTGGTATTGTTTTTTTTATAAAACCGAAGAGTTAGTTTGTATGTTTGATCTAACACTAAAATTTCTGCTTTGAATAAATAATTTTTTTGGACAGACCATCAAATGAAAAGAAACTTACTGAATGAACCCGTCCGGCTCAGCTATTGTAATAAAACTAAGGTGGATTCACCAAATTTTCCAGGCTGCCTCTTAATTCTAGTTTGAAAAAATTCAATAAAAAATATAAATTGCAGAAAAGAAGAGGCGATAAGCCGACCCAAGTTGGAGTTCGTGCCGAAGACCCTCGCCGACCTTAACATTGAGGGCATCAACGAGCTGAACCACGGTAAACGCTACGGCTCGGTCCACAGTCTTACCCGCTCCAATAAAGCCTCCTCCTTAGCCGACCTTTCCTCCCTCGACAGAGCATGGGACTCCCAGATCCCCAAACCTATAGGGTTCAAGCCCCATCCGGCTCCCAGAATTGTGAACGGAAGAGATCCCTGGACAGGTGATTTATTTTTTATTTGCGGTTTTTTTGTTTATTGGTGACGCGTGGTATGGGCTATAGGGTTCGGGTGCTCTGAAAAATTCTGGGAATATATGTTTTTTTTGTAAACGTCTATGGTTATGTGTTCACTAATATGGCACTATTTGTTAACAGGGCACTCATACGCTTACACACACTGCAACTTCTAACTATGCGGTTTTCATTAAACAGTTAAAGTCAAATTGTTTAGATTCTTAACTATCACTGTTATAGCATAATGATAAATATATTTTATATATAAAGCACAAACCTACGTACGTTATACATTTTTTTTGCTTCTTATACTCGGAGAAACTAATGAAGGTGAATACTTAAAAAGTAATATTTCAGGAGGTTCCCTTCCGAAATCCTGACCATTTCCAACCATCCGTTTTTTATATAAGTTCCTTTAATGGTAGACATTAATAGCCAAACTCAATTAAACAATTGAAGTATTTTATAAAAGTTTGATTTAGTTTGGACTGTGTAAATTGATGTCAGTACAAATATATGCAAAGACTAATAAAATTTTGAAAAAGCGTGAAGCCTTTGTATATATATCGTTTATGGAGTTCTAAATGGATATTTTCTCAAATAATCGTTCTTAATGTCTCTTTCCTATAGTAGTTCTGGTTATTGCTCCTTCTGCATTATGAGTCCCGTGGCCCAATCGAAAATTTATCAATAGTGTGAGTTTTAATCTCAAATTTCTGCTACCACTTTTAATGCAGTTTTATTTTTTAAATTATTTATGTGAAGTCGTCCGCGAGTTATTTGTTTTTCGACATACGACGTCTAAACATCGCCATATTGCCTCAAGTGGTGTTACGGGCTGCTTATATTCTTTCAACTCATGATTTTTCCAGTTTTAGTTAGCCATTTCAAGATTTTTGGGCAAAGTGTAACAAAGCTAAGAACGATCAATTTTACGATTGGGCTGCGATGTCGATATATCTTGAAATCGATCAAAACATTACGTAAAATTATATTAATTATATTAGTTATAATTTATGTGTAATTCAGTTTAGCAGTGAATAAAGACAACAAAAATCTGATTGTAAAGATATATGGTCGCGATTTTGATCGAATTTATTTCCAATATTTTCTGGAAATCTACAGTTTAGTATATACACTCATAGGCAATGTATGTATTACACTATGTATGTACAAATTGACGTACTGAGTCATTTGGGAGCAGGCGGCTCTCGAGCAAGCTCGCCGGAGCACAAGCCGCCATCGAACCTGGAACTCTTCCCGGGTGGCAACGCGCAACGCTCCAACAATGGTAACACACACAAACACAAGACCAGCTGCGCTGTTAGATAATGGATCGCCCTCAGATATAATATAGCTCAATGCTACACTATTTACAAGTATTGCTTCTCTAGTAGAAATTGTTTCTAGAATAATATAGCAGTCTCGAATCTGCTTTTATGTGATTTGTATACGTTGTTCCCTTGCTTGGCAATTTATATGAGTCACTCGATAAGTATTTTTGTCCTTTTGTCTTCAATTATTAGGTTAATCATTTTGGAGATTCCCTCGGATTCAAAGTTGTGAATCGGTGCTGTGTCACCCGTATGTCAGATCTCCTGTGCTGGACTTTATATTCTCGCTCTTTATATATGGGATATATCACTTATAAAGGTTGAAATTAAATAACAATATATTTCTGGATTATAACAATACGTACTCTTGGAAGTTCTCATAATAGGAACTATCCAATATCATTAACAACAGAACTATTACTATATCAATAAATTTTTCTACCTCTTGAGATTATCCATTCTCAAACCGCCAGCATACATGCGTAGTTGATTTTTCGTAGGTATTACATATACATTAAATAAGTTGTGCAATTTGATTTCTTATTCATTATTTTAATTATAACACAGCAGAATTACCAACAAAAACACTTCATTAAATGACATTTCCGCTAATATTATTGAGATGTGCTTTTGGGGCCGATTTTTTCGTTCCGTGCATGTTATGCTTCTCATTCGAATGACTCGAAGATCCGTTTCATCATAATACGAAATCATTAAACCACTAAGAGACGTGTTTTAAATCGTTGTGAGAAATAAAGTGTGTGATTTATTTATTTAGACAAGCGAATATAGTCGCTTTTGTTTCTTATCATGTTGACACTATTTGTTTCTTTGTTTTTGTTTTATTATTTAGGCTAGTGTTATCAATGTTTGGATATAGACATTTTCCGTATAATCTTGCGCAATGATAACTGTTTCCTATGAGTCATCAAGTTAATCATGCTAATGGCATTTACAGTATGACACGACCTCAATAACAACTAGGATATTCTTTGGAAGAACAGTTTGTTGAAATGCTTGCGTTTCGTTTGTGCATGATAATCAAAGCATAGTAAAAATAATAAACTCATTTTCTCTGCGTCAGTTACGATGGTTACCGTTTACATGGAAGAACATCGTAACAATGGTAGCACCATTTAGTCCACGTTTACTAAAGCTTTTAGAAAATCACATTTTGTTTTCTATTTTTACAATATTTAGATAAACAGTGTAAACTTTATATAGTGACGGTGAAGGGACTGCGAGAGATGTTTTTTAACGATATTTATTATCGGATATGGAAAATCAAGTAAACTCAAGAAATTTTGACGGTTGTTCAAATCGAGGGTACGCCCCTCAATTTACATAGAGTTTACACTGGAATTAATCTTTTAACTTACAATTTGATATGATTGATCAATAATTATGTAATGTAGCGTCACCATTGCCATCTCCCGTGAAATCGCCTGCGCGGACGCCGAGCGTGCAACAAAAGGCATGCTGTACTGCCCTCTATGACTTTGATCCCGAAAACCAAGGAGAACTTGGTTTCAAGGTAAACTTGCATTCTGTTTGAGTTTTAAATTTATATAGGTAAATGGATAAGAAATGGTTTTAAAAAAAAATAATATCTCGCAGAATGTCGTCTTTAAAAGAAAATATTTTTTATACCTCTTAACTCGGTTACTTAAAAAACCGAAGTGTCAATTAATTTACTAAACTAAATCATCAATTGTTTTTTAGGAAAATGACATTATCACCCTGATCAATAAAGTTGATGACAACTGGTTCGAAGGCAGCATCAATGGGAAAACTGGTTACTTCCCCATCAGCTACGTTCAAGTCACTGTTCCCCTACCTAACATGTAATTCACTTTATAAATATGCAACACGCCATTCTTTTAGATTAATACAAGGTAAGCGTACAACGCAGTATAAGAAATTGTGTAAAATTACTTGACTTAATACAATATAGTTTAGCTAACGAATCAATAAATTTATTTTTGCTATTGTCGCAAAGCATTTGTTTGCGATAAGATAATATTGAAATTAATGGGAAAAACGTGATCGAGATGTATACATATATATAAAAACTATTTTACGCCTTTTTGTCAATTATTACAAATATTATTTAACCTAACCAAAGATTAATTTTTCAGCTATATTTTTATATGTAATTGAAGCCTAAAGAATGGCTGTGTTGCATCAAGTCTCAGTATTACAGTAGGCAATTTATTCGCAGATAAATTGTGTCTAAAGCTCAATAATTAAAATGTTAATAACCTGATAAAATCTTCATTATGTTAATTTTCGGTCTTCCATTTGTTTCGGTAATTCAAATATTTCCATTACAATTATGCCAAATAGAACCCAACGAAATATTGCAGCTAGTTTTTTTTAATTTTAGACCAAAACATTTTTGAATGAATGTTACATGCATAATAAATGAGATTAAATGCAAGTGTATATTTAAAAACATTCCTGTTTGTGTAGTGTATTTTAATTTTAGAAATAATTTTCTTGTAACTACGTACTATTTTAGTTACGCTTTGGAAATCCGACAGGTGATATTTTTGTGGAATTAAATTTTATATTTTGTAGACATATTCTAGAAATGAAATTGACATTTCCTCCATTAATATAGATTGTCACGTATTAATAGGTTTGATTAGATTGCATAGATTATATTGCGGATAATTATTTGACAGAAACGTATACAAGTATATACACAAAGCATTGTGGGGACGTAAGTTGTTGAATCTTGCCAAATATTTGTGGCTATTCGATGTTCGATGTTTATGATAAATGTATTATGAAATGATGTTATTGTGATAATATTAATAATCATGCATTTTGCGCTATGTCGTGTACGGTCAATTTTTTATGTTTCGTTTTATGACAATTGACATAATCATAGAGAAATTAAATCCAATATGTGGCCTCTAAATAGTTGTTGTACTTTTAATGCATGCATTTCACTCAGAATTTCACGATATTTATTGGTGTTAATGTGATGTTATAATCATAATTCATAAATCATTCACATGAATTTGACCCCATACTTCTGGCATATAAAAGACAATACCTAGATCTAATGTTAGGTGTATGTAAGTTCTAATCGTTCTACCTTCAAGTGTCTATTATAAGTATTTTGAGCAAATAATAAATTAAAATTGGTGTTAATGTAATCGGTGTACGGCCGACAGACGTGTTTAAATGTTTCTTCAACACGCTAATATCGTTGATCCTACCACGTGGTGAGTTTCGGATCCCTCAATATATATAATGGCCGATTTACATTATCTTAGTGTTTAGGAGAGTGCTTTAGGATAGTACTTAAGTTGAAACATGTAAATGCTACTTGCTTTAGTACGGTTCTACTTGACTTTCAAGTTGAATCAAAATAGAATCGCTTTTTATTTTTGTTTCAAGTGATACACCTCTCGCGCCCTCGGAACCCCCGAGATCTTCCCTCGTTGTGTGTAAACTGTAAACACGTAATTTAGTAAAATCTTTAGGAGTGTGCACAAGTGCCGTGAAACGCGTGCGTGTTTTTTGATTTTTAAAGATGGCTAAATGGTCGGAAGATACAACTATCAAATTTGTGTCTGAATATGTTGTTCACGAATGTTTATGGAACGTTAAAAACAATTTATACAAAAACAAACAGGCTAGGCATTCGGCATACACTGCCTTAAAAGAAGCTAGTTTATTTATTTCGAATAAAATCTCGTCTTCTATTTGTTCCATAACTACAGTTAGTATTTTGCGTAGAATAGAGCGTATTTGCCGACGTTGTTGCGCGTTCATTGTGGCGCTGTAATGATACTCTACTGGAAGAAATGTAAACGTTCACTCGCAACGCACTAAAGCACTAAAGAACTTGCCTTTCAACTTGTACTAAAATACTCTCCTAAACACTAAGATAATGTAAATCGGCCTTAAGCCTAACAAACTACAAATAACTGGGTGCCTATATTGCAGAGACGGTTATATTTTTAAATGTGCTATGTATATTGGGTGCATGCACTCGGTGCGAGTTGGTAACTGTTTCGTAAATGTATTCTTGTTCATGTTACTGTAATATTAAATCTAATTGATAGATACTTGACAATTTACGAGATATTTGTTTATATTAAAAAAATATCCTGAACTTTATGCTCGTTTCGCCTCCTAATAAAATGTTAACTGAATTTATGCGTTTTATTTCCACCTACTAATTACTTATTAATTATTCGTGTATAATTAATGAAGGCTCTAAATTTTTCAAGTTCATATAAGCAAGATAAAAACTTGTTTATAAATACACACCTCGTTATGAATTATGGTAATAAGGTAAAGTACAGACAATAATTATTTATGTTGAAAAACAATATAAGAAACTTCTAGAATATTATAGCAATTATATAAAAATAATACATTTAAATAGAATAATGACGTATTTATCGTAATTTTACAGAATAAAACTGTTTAACCTTGCGATATTAATAATGATACTAAAATTGTGAGTAATGCTAATAGTGTATTTAAATTAGACAAGCGTAAAACAATAATATTTCATTAGGTTAGGTCTGTTTTCTGGTTCCTAAGGCAATTTATTGAAATAAAAAACTATTATTTAATACTATAATGTTTATAAGATGAGATAGTTGATGAACGACTGCATTTTGAAAGCTGATACTGTAAATGCATAAAAATTTGAATATATCTAAAATTTCTTTGAATAGTCGCACAACCCAAATATATTTCTACAGTTACTTACATTGAGCATTTTCGTTAAAGTTAAGAGAGGGGTTTCTTTTCCAAACCCGACACAATTATTGTTCTCGCAATCGAACCCAGCCGCATTAAAAAATTCATTAACTCAACCACGCCCAAAACCACCACCTCCTATACGAGATACCTATAATAATTTCTTGCATAATATCTAATAAATATTCTACTTAAATGTATGAAGCCAAATAAATGAAGAAAAGAAATAAATATTCACAAAGGTTACGTAAACGAAGCCCTTGAATTATAAGCCGCTACAAGGGCATTATTATTATAAATATAAGGTAAAGAAAACGAATAAGTATCTATGCTTTAACAACCACGTTAAATGTGAGGAACACTCGTTAAAATAAATGGTGTTTACTCATTTAAATAACGAAAGAAATTGTATTTAAGTAGACGTAGAGTACTTGCATATCTTTTTAGTATAAATATTAATTGATGAATTATACTGTAAACATAAGCCAAAGAAACAAAATTATATAGCCTATAGGTACACACATAATCAAACAAAATTTTAAAGCGCATTACGTATGCGTATACCTAAGATGGAGCGTTTGCTAATGCCCGGATTCCAAGAAAATTGTACACCCGATAGACGGTAATCTTAATATAGAACATATGCAGGAGACATCAGACGTAGAGGTACTTATTAATCCAATAAGTACACCGTAATATCTTACGATTTATTTTATATTGTCGATGATTTTCTGTTCTTATCAAGAAATACGTCAATAGTCTACAAGACATTAACCTCAATAACTTTGAAGCTAAGTATAGAGCGGTTATCATCTTCAGTCTGGTACGTTCACCTCTGTCCATCGCCTCAATGATCACGTTACTCCCCGTCCAAGAAAATCAATAAATGGGGACAACAAAGGCACCAGATTCATACATAAAATATTTTTAGGTACAAACATTACACATGCACATTTTGTATTATTTACATACTCAAGACTTATACATACATACTTAGACTTTAACTTTATATATGTATTATGAATAAATATAATGATAGATTCATAACGTGTAATTTTATTTGAAATAGCTTCACGCTGCCCTGACCTAGATATTCATTGGGTCGTGAACTATTAACGCGGACCGCCGTTTCAACTGGGGCTTACAAAATGCGGTCAATATTTTTCGTGATTTACAATTAAAAATACCGTCTTCAAAAGTGCATGTGTCTTTTCTTGATTGAACCTCACGAACCGGTTTAATATATCTAAGATTATACTAGAATATGATATTGATTGTTAAAGAAATAAATATACTTCTTACTGTGGACTAGCCAATTTTTAAATATACAAATAAAAATAATGTTGTGTTTGATTAGTATTTGACTTAACCTAACCCATTGTTTGGTTTTATCAGGTACTTTTAATAAATAGAGGATCTAATTTGTTTCAAAACACCATCTAACCCAATAAAATAACATTAAATTTAGAATACTGACCAATTTGTTGGATTACAAAATTTCAGTTATGTATATTTTACTTAATGGTTGCCTACAAATCTATAGAAAGTTGCGGAAATATGCAACACAGTAAGGATGTTATACATCGCATTATTTATTTTTTCGAAATTGGAACAGATCTAGAATAATATATCCTGACCTAATGCAAATGAAGCTTTAAAATATTTCCTATTTAGTAAAAAAATTCAATGTACATGTTTCATATCATTTCATCATTCTTTACAGTATATAAATTGCAAAAATTCAGTTTTATTGCCTAAAATGAAATAAAATAAAGAAGTCTGTTGAGTATTTATTTATTTTGAAAATAAATTGCATTTTGAATGTTAACAACTTGAATATTAATTTTATGTAGCAGGGTCAAAACAAAAGTATTTCAAAAAATTATTAATAACTTATTGCAAGTAAATTTACAATAACTATAAAATCTTGGAATGGTTACATAAATTTTCAAAAGATTTTTCAATACTGCAACAAAATATGGCTCATGAAGCGGTTGCTTCATCAATTGCCACCTCTCAGACGGAGTACTAGATGCAAGGTTGATTCCTTTTGAATGTTGTAGTCTGAAAGGGTGCGGCCATCTTCTAATTGCTTACCAGCAAAGATGAGACGTTGCTGGTCTGGTGGAATACCTTCCTTGTCTTGGATCTTAGCTTTAACATTTTCAATGGTGTCCGAGGCTTCCACTTCTAGTGTGATGGTTTTGCCCGTCAGTGTTTTAACGAAAATTTGCATTCCTCCTCTGAGACGTAACACAAGATGAAGTGTTGATTCCTTTTGAATGTTGTAGTCTGAAAGGGTGCGGCCATCTTCTAATTGTTTACCAGCAAAGATGAGACGTTGCTGGTCTGGTGGAATACCTTCCTTGTCTTGGATCTTAGCTTTAACATTTTCAATGGTGTCCGAGGCTTCCACTTCTAGTGTGATGGTTTTGCCCGTCAGTGTTTTAACGAAAATTTGCATTCCTCCTCTGAGACGTAACACAAGATGAAGTGTTGATTCCTTTTGAATGTTGTAGTCTGAAAGGGTGCGGCCATCTTCTAATTGCTTTCCAGCAAAGATGAGACGTTGCTGGTCTGGTGGAATACCTTCCTTGTCTTGGATCTTAGCTTTAACATTTTCAATGGTGTCCGAGGCTTCCACTTCTAGTGTGATGGTTTTGCCCGTCAGTGTTTTAACGAAAATTTGCATTCCTCCTCTGAGACGTAACACAAGGTGAAGAGTGGATTCCTTTTGAATGTTGTAGTCTGAAAGGGTGCGGCCATCTTCTAATTGCTTTCCAGCAAAGATGAGACGTTGCTGGTCTGGTGGAATACCTTCCTTGTCTTGGATCTTAGCTTTAACATTTTCAATGGTGTCCGAAGCTTCTACTTCTAGTGTGATGGTTTTGCCCGTCAGTGTTTTAACGAAAATTTGCATTCCTCCTCTGAGACGTAACACAAGATGAAGTGTTGATTCCTTTTGAATGTTGTAGTTGAAAAAAAACCCCCCGGTCAGTGTTGGTGGAATACTTCCTTGGGAAAAAAAAAAAAAAAAAAAAAAAAAAAAAAAAAAAAAAAAAAAAAAAAAAAAAAAAAGGGGGGGGGGGGGAAAAAAAAAACCCCCCCAACAACAAAAAAAAAAAAAAAAAAAAAAAGGGGGGCGGGACCCCCCCCCCTAGGGGGGGGGGTTTTTCCCGTCAGTGTTTTAACGAAAATTTGCATTCCTCCTCTGAGACGTAACACAAGATGAAGTGTTGATTCCTTTTGAATGTTGTAGTCTGAAAGGGTGCGGCCATCTTCTAATTGCTTTCCAGCAAAGATGAGACGTTGCTGGTCTGGTGGAATACCTTCCTTGTCTTGGATCTTAGCTTTAACATTTTCAATGGTGTCCGAGGCTTCCACTTCTAGTGTGATGGTTTTGCCCGTCAGTGTTTTAACAAAAATTTGCATTCCTCCTCTAAGACGTAACACAAGATGAAGTGTAGATTCCTTTTGAATATTGTAGTCTGACAGCGTTCGGCCATCTTCCAATTGCTTTCCAGCAAAGATGAGACGTTGCTGGTCTGGTGGAATACCTTCCTTGTCTTGGATCTTAGCTTTAACATTTTCAATGGTGTCCGAAGCTTCTACTTCTAGTGTGATGGTTTTGCCCGTCAGTGTTTTAACGAAAATTTGCATACCTCCTCTGAGACGTAACACAAGGTGAAGAGTGGATTCCTTTTGAATGTTGTAGTCTGAAAGGGTGCGGCCATCTTCCAATTGCTTTCCAGCAAAGATGAGACGTTGCTGGTCTGGTGGAATACCTTCCTTGTCTTGGATCTTAGCTTTAACATTTTCAATGGTGTCCGAAGCTTCCACTTCTAGAGTGATGGTTTTGCCTGTCAGTGTTTTAACGAAAATTTGCATTCCGCCTCTAAGACGTAACACAAGGTGAAGAGTGGATTCCTTTTGAATGTTGTAGTCTGAAAGGGTGCGGCCATCTTCCAATTGCTTTCCAGCAAAGATGAGACGTTGCTGGTCTGGTGGAATACCTTCCTTGTCTTGGATCTTAGCTTTAACATTTTCAATGGTGTCCGAAGCTTCTACTTCTAGAGTGATGGTTTTGCCCGTCAGTGTTTTAACGAAAATTTGCATTCCTCCTCTAAGACGTAACACAAGATGAAGTGTAGATTCCTTTTGAATGTTGTAGTCTGAAAGGGTGCGGCCATCTTCTAATTGCTTACCAGCAAAGATGAGACGTTGCTGGTCTGGTGGAATACCTTCCTTGTCTTGGATCTTAGCTTTAACATTTTCAATGGTGTCCGAGGCTTCCACTTCTAGAGTGATGGTTTTGCCCGTCAGTGTTTTAACGAAAATTTGCATTCCTCCTCTAAGACGTAACACAAGATGAAGTGTTGATTCCTTTTGAATGTTGTAGTCTGAAAGGGTGCGGCCATCTTCTAATTGCTTACCAGCAAAGATGAGACGTTGCTGGTCGGGTGGAATACCTTCCTTGTCTTGGATCTTAGCTTTAACATTTTCAATGGTGTCGGAAGGTTCAACTTCCAATGTGATGGTTTTTCCCGTAAGAGTTTTTACGAAGATCTGCATTTTATAAGATCTGCAAAAAAATGAATACAATATTATTTGGCTATTAAACAGATATTTGATTTACTGTATTATTGATTTGGGTGATTAAAATGGAATGACGCATCTTCGAAGTTCGAAACAAAGAAATTTCTCGTTCACAAAATGGCGTCGCACACCACTGCTCGTCCTTTGTTTGAATATAAAGATATGACGCAATAACAAAGAGAGGTTTGAAGGAAAACTTACCTTTAACTACACCGAAGTACGAATAATTAACAATTTTTTATACTTAATGCAAATATTAATTAACTACAATTCACAATATTTAGATAACATAAAAATTAAGTTATATACAACACTCTAGTAACACGTCAATACTCAATAGCGCTAGAGAAAAATGAAACGTCAAATTGCGTGGAGTACGGTATTTATACTTTCGGGACATATTTTTTAATATTGCAACCCTCATATAATCAGTCGCACACACGAGTGAGATTATCAAGTGATTTAAATTTAAAAAAAAGACTTAAATCATTATTTTTTGTTACTAACATTGTATAATAACCCGGAATTTCTTATATATTTATATATCCTCTCGAATCCCCCTATTGGCTTTTCGATAAATCAAGATTAAGTTAAAATTTAAATTGTAAGTAGAAATATTTATTTGCTTAATATATTGCAAATTTATATTACTACTACCATTTTACCGTCAAGCTCTTCATAATTTTATGAAGATTTGTTTTAACCGATAAAATAAGGAAAGGTCTATAATATAGTTTACAGTTAACATTTTACTGTCACTTAAAATATACATATAAATCATTACAAATGAATATATGACTAATGCTTTATCTTTTGGAATATTAAATTTATCAAGTAATGTGAGAGATATGGTTTTTTAAACTTTTTTATCTGTTGATAAACTTCCTTCCTATAACGTTGACGTTTAGATAGCTGTCATTTTTAAATACTTGGGTAGCTACTAGATGTCATACTCATATCCCACAGAAGAATTTCTAAACATAATTTTGCGTTGTATATTGTACGGTGTATCCACGATTTAAGATTTTTAAATAAATACGATTGTTGTTAGGGCGTTGAAAAGGTTGAAACTAAATATAACTTCACAGTAGTTGTTCCATCAACGACACCGATGAGTTTAATTGTCGGAGATCGTGATGTTTAGCGACGTTATTACTATTATATATGCAGTCTAGACGAGTATTATATTCAGGTTTCAGACGAAGCTCGAGCGACTCGGGGACCGACAACAAGAAACCTTGTCTACAATAAAATCGATGAAACTTTTACTCTTATGTTTATAAATGAATAATGATTGTTTTATAGTCAAGTTAGACTGCGTTTCGAAAGTTATATCCGTAAGAGTTAAAAATGGCTGATTTGATACGAGCGATGGGGGCGCCGATTGGACCCCCTATCAAGGACAAGTTAGGATCGCCCTCTACGGAGTCAGAAGACGGCGGTGGCGATATTGCTGAGTTGACTGCTGATTTAGAGCTTGACGAAGCTGACGGACCTAGCACAAATGGTATTATTAAATATAGTTAGTTCATTTTTACTCAAACTTGCATTCTACCTATAAAGGGAATCTATTAAGGTAGGAATGTAGGATCTTAGTTAGTTACTGTTTTGGCTAACATTTACTGTAAATAAAAAACTTGTAGACCCAATTCTGCGATCATCTATAGTTTTACTCATAAATTGAATTTGTTAAATACTGAATATATTTTTACTTAAAATATTAACAATATTGTGTTTAGTTCTAGGAGTAAGGTTCTAGAAAGATGTTAAAGCAACAAATACTAAAAAAGCTACTTATAATATATATATATATAAACTACCTTAGTTATCACAAACTGTTTGTCACCAGGAGAAAGGCAAGCAGTGTTGGCTCCTCCAGAAAGTGAGTGGTACCATGGCAGGCTTGATAGATATACTTCTGAAGAAAGATTGTGGGCTACGGGAAAACATGGCAGTTACCTGGGTAAGTCAATAATGATAATATTTTATTTAAAAAAAAAGAATTTTAGTAGTTTTATTGCTATCATATACATAATATTTCTTTTTAAATTCTGTAAACTGTAACTAGATGAATTATATTTGACTTAACTTACTGTATGGTGTATAATTATAATAAGTAATTGTTTTTAAAATTTTATAAAGAAACCTATTTTAAATTTGAGAAATGTAAATATGAAAATTAAACTAAAAACTAGAAAATTTTTAAGGTTTTTTTTTTCATATTGGTATCTGTGTCAATAACATAGCTTAATTTATCATTAATTTTTATAGTATGAAGTTTGTTTTAATCTATCTCATATCACAATGAACAATAGCTAGGTAACACAGATTCCCACAGAAAATTATAGTAACTTACAAAAGTATAGAATTACAAAAGAATTTAATGGAATTACTGGAATGAAATTCTTGTGTATTTGTTAATATTGTATGTTTTAAAGATAAAAGTTTTTAACTTATGACAATTTTGACGTATAAATATGACTGAGAAAAAGAATAGTTGTTAATAAGAAAAACAAAATGTTGTCCATTAACGTTATGCAACCCAGTACAAACAATTTAAAGTATAAAGAAAGAAAGCTTTAATTTTAAAAAAGTAAAAGAATTTTACTTTTTATATCATATTGTTCCATTCAATAATTTCTAGTAATTTTATGAATGTTTAAATTAGCATTGTTAATTAACATGTATATTTCAAGTTATATTTGTGAGATGTCCTTTGAGTCAATTATATTCTTCTTAATAAACAATTAGAATTTGCAGATTTGATAACTAATTAATAAGAATATAAGATTGTGTTGATTATTTTTAAGGTCAACTTAATTGCCTAGTAATTTTTCTAGTAAACTTGCAAATGTATAAAATTAACTTATACCGTGTAAACGACCCTCGATTTAACAACAAACCCCCTAAACCGTCGAAATCACTTGACTTTGGTTGGTTTAGCTTAACTTCCATACAATGAAAATATCGCCAATCTTCATAGCATTACACCCACCCTCAATAACGCCAAAATTAAATATTAAAAAAAGTGCGTGCGTACACATGTCAGAAGTGAAACTCCTCTGTAAATTAATTATTACTAAGGTAAAAGCCCCAATAGATGATCATGTACCAGTATATGATCACTCCATGTATTTGTATATCTATATTCACACTGTATACGTGCTAATGAAATATAATATATATATGTACGTATAAATAAATAAGTATAAGATCTGCGTTTACTGCACAAGACGTTTATGCGACAAAATTGCCATCTAAAGTTCTAATATGTAACTACTAAACGAATACATCAACCAATAACGTGTATTTTTTCTCGATCTATCTTACTCTCTCTCTCAATCTTTCTCACTTGCTTGCTCCCTGCTCTCCCTCCATGGCTATTTGCTTCATGGTACGTTCGCCCTTTCTCACTCTCCATCTATTTCAATCGCTCTCCTCCTTTGACGAAAACGCTACACATCTTCGTGACGCTAATGTTATTATTATTGCGTTTCATCCGTAAAAAATTTACCCTCATGCGCCTAAAGAAGTTTCACTTCAAAAGTATATTTTAAGTCGCCGAAATTAGTTAAAACTGCGGTTCTGTGTACGTTCTTTTGTCGCTTTATTGTCCTAGCCCGTAATAAACTCGACTGTCGGAATGTATGTCCCGAACTTTTTAAGAAATCCGTTCTTTTGTTTACAAACTGGGATTGCTTTCACGTGTTTTATCACGAAGATGTCTCAATATCGCAAGATGTGAATAAAAAAAGTAAAAAAATGCAACATAATTATTGGGTGCAGCAAAATACGTCAGGCGAAAATAATTCTGTTATATATATGTATACCCAATAGCGTTCAAATAAGAATAGTTTTTTATGTAATTACTTACACTAGTCTGAAATAAACTTTTTCTTTTTCTAATACAGATTTGTCTTATTTCTATTTAACGACAATTCTTTGTAACGTCAAAATATGCACAGTGGCGTTATATAAAGTTTACCCTGTACCTATATAGATTATAGAAATATAACTTTTCCAAAATATTGTGTTAAATTGTAAACTTCTATAATTTTTTATAAGAATGATTTCCTTAAAGTGATTATCACTGTACTGAATTACTAAAAATAACCATATTTTAGCGACAACACCCATGATAGAATATATTTTTTAAATATTTTTTTTAGTTCGAGAAAGTGATCGAAAACCTGGATCGTATGTGTTAAGCTATCTTGGACGTACTGGGATCAATCATTTTCGGTGAGTTGTATATTGATAGTAGTAGGTCATAGTTTTTACTTTCAGAATCAATTTTATACTCAATATTACATATTATAGTGAATAGTGATACATTAGATTATCAATGACTTGATCTATCCATATGAAATCACCATCTATTAAATTAGCCTAAATAATTGTCGCGGTAATAGATTTTACTTATATGTTTTTTAATTTAATTATTGTAGCATAACAGCCGTATGCGGTGATTACTATATTGGGGGTCGTCAATTCGATTCCCTCACGGAACTAGTTGGATTCTACAGCCATTGTTCGGATTTGTTGAAACGTGAAAGACTTGTTGAGCCCGTTCCACCGCCCGAACCTGTCAATGATAAGAAGGTATGCTTATTTCAATGTTAAACACATATCCAAGTTCATCAACCTTATAAGTTTATCAGATTTTGTTTAATCCTATTATTTTCTACTCATTGAAGTTTCAGTTCAATTAAGAGTCAGTGCTCACTTGTTCGGGTACTTACATATTTAATGCACACTGAAGTAGTCTAAATTCTGTTGGAAACCTGTTCAATTTCTTTCGTAAAGCCTAAGCTTGTTAGCTAAAGCTTTGACACAAAATTATTTCAACCATGATGAATGAAGTATATTGATAACCTTTCATTGTCAACTAATTAAATTATGTTTTTTCTATTTTGTTTTACACTAAAAATATTTGGCATGTTTACCTTCTTATTTTATAAAAAACAAACTGTATGTGAAGATTTGTAATTGGCCCACAAAAAAATGGCCCATCTAATTCTGTATTGTGATGTGAAGCTTCTGAATAAAGAAATAAATAAAGCTAAAAAAAAATGTCTGATTTCTTAAAATGTGTCTTTAAAACTGATCAGTGAAGGATTCATAACCACTGCGCAATCACAATAATTTGTTTTTAAAAATGTTCAATGTTAAATCTCTAATAAAATTTTTATAACTATAATATATAATTCCCTATGCTATATAAGATATCTTAAAACTTAAAACAATAACGGCCTTATTATACAGTATGGCGTGTTTACCGAAGGGTATATGGAAAAAATATCATAATCATGGTCAAAATGTTGGTACTCGTTAATAAGGCTGTAATATTTCTTTATATAATTAAAAGTTCGTACAGATTATACATATGAATGATGTTTGTTCACTAGCGCGTGGTCGCCATCCTGCCCTACACCAAGATGCCAGACACGGACGAGCTCACGTTTCAGAAGGGCGATATTTTCTTCGTACACAATGACATGGGAGACGGCTGGCTATGGGTCACTGCACACAGGTATATTTAAGGCGCCCTTTGACATACAGTTGTAGTATTTGAATAACCGTGATTCTTAAGTCTTATATCGGGAAAGATTTTCAGTAATTTTTGTAGGCTTTTGACGATTTTGGCGCTTAATGTAAAAATAATTAAATGGACAAATTTTTTTGGACAATAAAAGAAAAGATGCGTTTATTATAATTACTAATTGATAGTTTGGAAAATCCAAAAGTGCACGCCTCATAGCGGTCATTCATATTTATAAAAAAAATCTAAAACAAAAACTCAAGTTTTTTAAAACAAAATAACAAATAAATTATTATCTTTAAGTCTCACGCTATTTTATAAAACGAAATTTACGTAGCGCATGCGCGAATCTTGATTTTCCACATACTCTTACATATAGATATAGTTATAAAAATAAAAAATAAATGAAAATGAATTATTGAAAAAAAAACAATAATATAATAAAAAATATATAGTGGCGCCATAACTCGTAAGGTGAGGAAAAAATTTACTAAAATAAATGTATATATAGATATACAAAAACACAGTCGTATTTTAGTTTTTTACAAATTATAATTAAACGACAGTACTTAGAACGCTAATATTAACTAGGAAACAGCCAGGGTATAACTTTATATAATAAGAAAAAAAGTATTCTGGTACGATAAATTTTTCGACCAATTTTTCTGCTACATAAATGGATCCATAAACACAGACTGACGGTCGTCCAAGAATGATTGATTTTAATGTTATTATTTACTATGTTAAACAAAATAATTGTTCATAAAAAATACCATATGTGCTTGATAGATTATTTAACTCGATTTTAGTGCACTCATATTATCCTGTAAGTGTTATATTAGTGAGAAAAATGTCATTCAAGTTTCGAAAGACTGGGTTTTTTGACATGTCGAGAGTAGAGCACTGCGAGGCGTGCAATAGGTATTTATTTAATATTACATTCCTGACTCTCCATTTACTATAAAACACAGAACATTTACCCTACCTAAGACACAAGAATTTTAGAAATTAGTTAAATTTTGTATTATATCTTTTTTATTAAAAGGTAGTACCTATTTCTAGTAGCACAACTTCAAATTGCTGACGCATAGTACGACTTACTGCGTAAAGACGAGTTAGATCGATAAGATTTGGCTAATAAGGGGTCTTTAGCAGGATTTCAATGGCTTCTAAGTATTCCTTTAGGGTTTCAAAATTAAACTAAGTTAATTATAACTGATAGACGATTTCTCACTTTTTCTTTTTACTAACATAGTCGGTATTTTCTATATTATTGATTACAAGAAGAGATCTTTATTAAAAATAGCGCAACTGCTTAATTTTGAAGCCTTTTTAGTGATTTTAATTAGTAGTTTTTAAGTCTTTACAATTCAAACTGTTCAATCATACGCCAATCATAGAAAAAAAATCCTTATTATTATGTTGTACATATCCTTTACATATAGCGTCGATTACGTTAACTTAAATTTCGTTTAGTACTAGCAACTTGTTTAATATCTTCCAGGACGGGAGAGCAAGGAATGATCTTCAGGGAGCTGGTTGAAGACCTGGATCCATCAATCGACCCAAATACTGTTTTCTCTTGGTTCCACCCTAATTGTACTAAGAGTGAGGCAGTTGATATGCTAGTCAAAGCTGGGCCTGGGAGCTTTTTAGTCAGGTTTGTTTAAGTTAAAATTATAATAAATTGTATTTTAGTTACGATACTGGGCCATCGGGGTGCATTAAATAATAGAGGATTTTTATTTTACTCTTTATTAACCACTCGCGTACAACAATAGAATATAAGCGAAATAATGAAATGCTAATTTTATTGCTATGTAACAAATGAATCCAATGTAACAGTTGAAGAGAGTGCCTACGCCTGGCTATACTCTCGGGGCGTAACTCCGACGATTTAGGAAATCGTCACGCTTATAAAACTAAGAAAGCCTGAGTGAGCAAAATGTACAGCCTTGGCTCGTACACTGGGTAAAACAACAGGTCTTTATCCAACTGTTTAATAGTTTAAGAAATACAGTGTACACTCTTTATAACGTTGTAACGACAAACTCTCTATAACTTAAAGGGGCCAGATGCTAAATGGGGATTTACTGTCGGAACCTATGCAAAGCTTAGATAAAAAAAAAAAAAAATGTTATATATAAATTATATAAAACCGATAAAAATGAGTTAAATTTATTTGGTTTAACCCATTTCCATATATTAATTCATCCCTCCCGAACGACGATAACGAAACCTCTCTAACGAATAAAAACGCTCGGTCTCTTGAAATTCGTTATAAAGAGTATACAATGTATGTACTCGTATGACGTATATTTTTCATATTTATATAATTTATACAAGCTTACATGGGGGAAATTACATTTAGACTCGGCACGCGTAACCTGCCATGTTTTATAATATATTTTTTTATATAACGGGGCAAACGGGTATGAGGCTCGGCTCACCTGATGTTAAGTAATACCGCCGCCCATAGATACTTTCATTGCCAGGGCTTGCAAGTGCGTTGCCGGCCTTTTAATAATAATTCAAGTACCTAACCCATTTGCCATTTTATATATTTTAACTATGTTGTTTTTTTATAAAATGACGATATAAACGCGCTTTTTATAAAAATATTTTAATAATGTTAACTTTGACTTTGATGAACCAAATGAATGCCAATCAAGAAAGAAATAGATACGTTTAACAAAAATATGTTTTACTAATATATTGTCTATTTATTCCCTCCGTTCAGGCCTTCAGATAACTCACCAGGCGATTACTCCTTATTCTTCCACATCAATAACCAGATTCAAAGGTTCAGAATCGAGAAGAAAGGTGTTCGGTACTTGATGGGAGGGAGGACCTTTGAATGTTTGGATGCTGTGATTAATAGATACAGGAAGGAACAAATTGTTGAAGGACATACACTTGGGCAGCCAGTAAGTAGTTTTTCGCATATATTATATAATAAATTGTGAGTATGTGTACTTAATCAGACTTACAAAAAAGTACATTGGTTGTTAAATGTTTCTGTCTAAAATTCTACATAGATATTTTTTAAAGTTTTATTTTGTTTCGGTTATCAATAGTAGTTTAAGCATCATAATTGTTAAAATTAAGGTGATAAAAACTGGTTTACAGATACTCATAACATATCTTTATATTATGTTTGTATAGAATAATGTAATTTGTAGCAAAATAGAAAAAAAAGTGCGTGCGTACAAAGTACACATGTCAGAAGTGAAACTTCTTTGTCAAACTAATTTTTAACTCTTGTTCATATTTAATTAAAAAAATATATTTTACTTCTTCGATAATAAAAACACGTGACATTTTAATTTACAATTCGTCATTTGAGATTTCAATCAATTATTCTGCATAAAATATAAAATACTAATATTTCATAAATTCTCTTAACGACATTTTAATTTTAAAAATAGAATTTCTATAAGGTAATTCCCCTTCTCACTCTCTCTCAATCGATCTCAATCGCTCTCTCCCTTTTCTTCGACAAAAATGCTGCACATCTTCGTGACGTCTTTTAAAAATTTTACCCTCATGCGCCTAAAGAAGTTTCACTTCAAAAAAGTAATTATTTGGGTTAAATGTATCAGTGCTTCTTTCTTTTGTTTGACCTAGCCTATTACAAAACAAAACAATTGTTTTATCGGTTAAATGCGCCATTTGTATATTTATTTGAAATGTTCCCCAGCTTATAGCCGAGGGCCACCAAATAGAACCGCAACAGAACACGACAGGCGCTGCAGCGGAGAAGATATACGCCACGCTTCGAGAATGTAGAGACCAGATTGGTTTGAAGAAGATGAAGGGGATCAAGCATCAGGGATACCTTCACAAGAAGTCGGATAAGGCCACTAAGAAATGGAAAGCGCTCTATTTCGTCCTACTCCAAGAGGGGACGGACACACATTTGTACTTCTACGATTCTCCTAAACGTACGAAGCCGAAGGGGCTGATTGATCTGTCGTGCGCCTATTTGTATCAGGTAAAAAGAATAATAAACTCGTTTATATAATATTCAATATAAAAAAAATTGCCTTTATTCGGTACTACATAATTAGGACTACATTAAGTCCATGTCATTATGTTTAACATTAGTACACGACCTCCGACTACGTACGTTATTACTATAAATTTCTTAAATGTTCTACCGTTGCTTCCTCCGGGGGTCAACCCCCCCCCCTCTCTAAGGGCCCCTTTCCAATTTTGTTCCTATTACCTTAATAGAACAACGTTGGAATCTTTCGGACCCACAAACGTACAGTAATAAAAAATCATAATATTTTATTTTGCCTCTCACTATAATCTCGAGTTTCTAACCAACCCATTCTTTATTGCCGTTTAATCAATAAAAATTGTATGTTTTAGGTCCACGAGTCCCTATGGGAGCGTGAATTTTGCTTTCAATTAGTGGAAAGGGCGCTGCCGTGTCTCTCGACGCACACTTTCCTCGCTGCTTCCACCGCAACCGAACTACGAGGATGGCTGGACGCTTTGCGTCCGTTGTGTGTACCGCAGCAGGCCAAGCATCAGTCTAAAGTAAGATTTTTTGTGTACGTTTTATGTTATGTTCTAGTAATTATTTTAGTTCGTTCCTAATCTCACGTAAATTCTGTCGATGTTTTAGTTCGAGTTTGAGTGAAATATAGAAATTCTATTTTCGTTCAGTGTTTTACTGATATCAAAATCCTTCTTTAACTTAACATTTTAACTTTTAGCCCATCTGGTACACGGCCAAGAGACATTTGAAATCATTTTAACAATAATTAGTTTAATGTATAGTTATTTCTGAACGAAGCTGTTACATAAATGGATGTTAAAGATATTTATGGTAGTAAATCGTGTTTTCGACTATGGGTGGAGGCCAAAAGGAGCTCTTTACTATCTATATATTAATATAGACAGTGGGTAAATTCTGTCCATATTAATTCTATTCAGTTTAATTTCATTTTAACTTCCAAAACAAATGTTGCTCTGTTGTAGTATGTAGTTTTTTCCTATATATTTCTTGTATTAAATGAATCGCACAAGAAATAACGTCCCGAATCTAAGGGCAGCATCGCATTACAATAACGGAATTCTCACTTACTCCACTAGCTCTGCGATGCAATGTGTCTTTATAATTTTTTATACCTTACTACAATAGGTTGCTCGTGTGGTATGGCTCCGAGCATTGCGCGTACGTTGTGTGACCGCTCACCGACTGCCGGCCCGTTTGGCGCCGCGTCCGTACTTACGCTTGGCGTTGGGTGCTGCGCCCGTCGCACGTACGCGACCGCGGCCATCGCCCGACCCGCATTGGGACGACGAGTTTGTCTTTGAGTACGTATTATTTTTTTATTACTTAAAAAAATTATTATCTATTATATATTTTTTATATCTTTTTGTCATTTATGTGTGTTGGTTCCTAATAAAAAATAAATATTTGTATATATGTAAATTTACTGATATATAACGATTGTTGCAAAAAAATCTTACTAAGTTACACGTGATACACTGGCGAAAGCTTGTGTTTAAAAAAAAGGAATAATAATTGCTAAACCAAACGTAAACTCAATGTAGCTATTAGGTCTATCATTCGCTTTTAACTTACTATAATTGGTAATTGTGTAGTTCAACTGGTATTATGAAGATTATATCAATTTTCTGCCCTATTAGAAGAAAATGTGCATTAATTTGGAATTTAATTGAAATTTAATAATTTTGCTTATTAAATGCCGTTTAATCTAACAGTCTGTGCGGTTAAAGAACCGACGTCTCTGTTATGCGAACTAATGTATTTGTTATTTGCTACGCGTCATTTTATTTATACATTAAAATTATATTTTTTTTTCATATTAAGTATCAAGATGATGACTGTCAAACTATAATAACAGTGTTGTTAACAGCAAAAAGCTGATTTAACACAGCTGCGACCTCAAATCCCGTTTGAATCTTCAGATAATGCTCTAGAAAAACTAAATTTATTATTTTATATTGTGTATTTGATATCCGAAATTGTAAAGCATTTTTTTCTGTTTCAGTGATGTGCCTCCAGACGTTACCGCATTCACTATTACGGTGCATAATACCGGAAAGAGGGGAAAGGAATCTGAGGTAGGTTAAGATTTTTCTATTTCATTTATACTTCAGATTTTTATAATTATTTGATTAGTTTTTAAACATTTATTTGCTGCGTTTCTTTTTAGTAAATTATATGAAAAAAAGCACAAAGATATTTATTGTTATGTGTGGAGTAAAATATTTAGTAATTAATATATAAATATTAATACCATGATGATGAAAATCATGATTGTTCGCGAGTTAAAAACGGTACTACTAAAGTATCTTATTCTATAATTTGTAGCCCCATTAATAAAATCTATTTTTGATACGCAACGAGACAAAACAAATATTCTTGCTTTTTTATTTTTTTATTTTTAAGGCTCGTAAGTGCGTTGGTGGCCTTCTAAGAATTGGTACGATATTTTCTAGAAAGACTAAGTCGAATTTCGATTTTATTTTTCGACCATGTTTATTATATGTGTAGAGATTTCCATATTCAGTACTATTTTTTAATTTTAGGTTGCTGAGTTGACGATAGAATTGGCAAATCTCGCAAATGGCGAAGAAGTTGAAGAGTGGTATCCCCTAGCGGGAATGACTCCAATTGGTGAATGGGGTTCGCTAAGACTGCGTATAAGGTACTGTTTGTTCAATGTCTATATTATGTCTCACCCTGTTTTTATCTTCAATATATAAAGAGCGAAAGAGAAGAGAGATTCTATAGTCGTATTTTTAATTAGACGAAGCCAACTGACAGTAGCTAATGTCACTTTGTAAAATAATGTTGCCATATTTAAAGTAATAGTGATACGTTCAGTTCTTGTTCAATCAGATGAATGAACAATGAGTGTGAATAGTTAGTGATTTCAAACTATAAAAGAATATTATTTCTATTTCAAAATTGTATTAAAGTGCTCTGATATAAGTTAGGTACTAGTACTATGTAACTACAATCAGTTTTTTGACGGCTTATTACAAAGCGCGGCGCGGCAACTAGTGCCATCACCGATCATTTATTCAGGGGTTTTTACTTTGTCACAACACTATTTTTATTTCATTAAAAACTGACAACATCGTGAACGTCACTTGACTTCGTTTAATTAAAAATTCGACTATAGCAGTTAGGTCCTTGTTATTTAGCGATTTCAAAAAACTGGGTTTAGTATATGATGTGTTTATTGGTCGAGAAAGTAATGAGGATAAGATTCGAAAACGAGATGTCGCTTGAACTTGCCGTATATCAAAATCCAATAAATTAAAAAAAAAAGTTTCGTTTGATCTTTCTTTTTAATTGTTTTTTTCATGAGTGTCGCCAGCCATATATTGAAATTTTAAGTTTTCTTTTTGTATAAATAGTCTCTGCACAAAGACACAATTTAACATTACGATCTAGAGACTAGCCTAAATTAAAACCGTGAGTAATTTAAAACTAATCTAATTTACTAAAAAAGATATTTAATATAAGAAAGTGTCCAATAACACTTTTTACAGTCTATTAAAAAGACAGTCAGTTCTTGTGTACTAATTTTTTCCACTTACCACTGTTTAGCACTGCTAACTTGCACTCACACTAATTCGAATGGTTTTTTTCCTTTTCAATTCTCTTACTAGTCCCGTGGTATCAAGATGTTGAAAAGCCTCGACATTCACGTGTTGGTAAAGCCTTTGTTCGTGGGCTCCAGCTATATTTTTGATTATTGTGGTAACGGAAAATTTAAGTATAGTAAGCAATTATGAAATACCAACATATATGGCAACATTTCAAAGGAATTAATACTTGATATGACATTAACGATTTCTGAAAAGCACTTCTAAAGAATTTATTGTAAATCATGGTTATCTTTTACAGATACATGCAAGAACTGGTAATGCCGCGAGAAGAATACAACCCACTGCGACAACTGCTTCTAGAACCGGGTTTGCCTGCTGTTAAGGCGCTCGCTGATTTATGCAGGACGGACAGACAACCTTTGGCAACATGTTAGTACCTTTTTATTTCTTCGTAGTCTTCATTACTGAAGTTCGTGCCTGTCTTGAAGCCCTAACCGCTACGTCGACTTGCTGCCTTCCCACCGCTCTATCCTTAGCTTGTCTCAGTGCATTAAGGGTGTTGTCGCGTTATCTTTTCTTGTCAAAGCCTTGCTTGTTTTAAAAAACAATAAAAATTAATTTTTTTTCCTTAAAATTATTATTATTGTAATCAATCTTCAGTCATGTTCAATTATGTTTTATTAGCGGTCCTTCACGCCTTTTCCGAGTGCGGTCGCGGTGCGGAATTGGCCCATGAATTATCGGCGGCGGAAGTAGTGCGTGAAGCGGATCACAGAGCGTTGTTCAGAGGCGCCTCTCTCGCTACCGCAGTACTGGATGAGTTTATGCATGCTCTGTGTAAACCTTTCTTGCAGGTAAATTCATATTTATTTTTATTTTCAATGGTTTTTGTCTTCCAACGTCAGCGACTAATATGGATCGAATAAAACAGCTTCCATACAAAAAATACGATACTTTTAGTATTATCAGTATGGTTTTAAAACGATAAAATAGATAAAAAAAGCAAAACTTGGCGAATTTTATTAAGTGAAATTAAAATTTATTTTATTATTTATACCACTGTTTTGTTTTAATTTTTAACATATTTTCATTTTAATGTTCGTATTATATAATATAGTGAGTTTACTGCTTAGCTAAGGGTTTAATTCAAATCTTGGCGAAACCATAATTGTTGAATAAACTGTCAAGACTGACGCAGAAATGTGTCTACCCCATGCCCATTGACAATAGGACTTACACATAATATGTACAGGCGGCGATATCTGAAACAGTGCAGAAGTTAATAGACGCGAAGCAATCGGCGGAATTGAATCCAACTAAAATGGACTCGCCCGACGATGCATGTAACAACGCCGAGTTTCTGCTCATGACTCTTGACCAGGTGAGATTAATTCATTGGGTTAATATAGACTACGCAGCGCCACCATTTTATAATGAGGGGAATGCACTTCCGCACAGAGTGTGGGGCTCGCTAAAACGGCCCTAAGCACCAACTCCTCCCACCTATCATGTCACTGGTGGGAAGCATGGGGTCGCGTTATCATTCTACCAAGATTTAAGTGTTGTTGAATTGCCGCACCGCTTGCAATTTCCAACCTCGGCCTAGGATATATTGATAAATACGTCACCACACAGTGTCCTTTCTATGATAGCCCGCACTTTAGAAATTCGACCGTGCCCTCGATGTTCGGTTTAACTACTCGGCCGCCATCGTGCAGCCCAAGGCACAGAAGAAATTTAAATAAACTTGTGCTTCGACCACGACTCGAACCACGAGCGTTGCAGTCGCTTAATAAGACCGCAAGGCTACGAGGGCCTTAACGTAGTGACACTTACTTTCAGTATGGAAATACTGAAAGATTATCGGTACTACGTGCTTTTTATTTTCTAGTTTAATTGATATTGATGTACCTTAATAATCACCGAAACACGATAAAATTTGTCAAAAACACATTAAATCATACTGCATTGAAAATAATTTTAAGCGATTGTAACAATAAGTAGACGGTTTTATTTAGATTTTTCAAATAACGATACAATTTCTCATCACAACTGTTACTACAAGACTTTCCATTTTTATTCTTTATGGAGTATATACTTTTGGCTCACAAGTGTTGGGGCGTTTGTCTGTCACCTTTCTTCAGAGCGTAAACAAAATTTGACAGAAAGAGACGAAAGACTAGTTAAAAACCCTAGACCAGGGGGATTCTTGCACAGCGGTATAGCAATTCAAAGATGCCAAATGTACTACTTTGCCTTAACAATAATTTTTCATATGCTATAAGTGTTTTGGACCACACTTAATACATGTAATAATTTCCAGATAACATTATCAATATTCACGTCTCCCGAGGCATGTCCTCGGCCTATCCGTTACTTGTGCGGCTGTTTGCAGCGCGCAGCCGTCGCGAAATGGCCCAATGAGAGATTTGTCCGAACACGGGTTGTTTCTGGTAAGAAATCGTAACATTACGAAATTTAGAGCAATTTCAGATATAATACAATAGCGTATAAATCACTTTATACTTTTGAAGTTATACTTCTTTTGGGAAAAATTATTTGAGTCAATTTTTACGATGCGCGCGCACACCGTCACAAAAAACCGATACCCTGAAGTTAGCTATAGCCAACATTTTAGTTTTTTTTTTGTTCGTGTCATTTTTCCTACAAACGTAGAATAAACCTTTTGAAAAGATTTTTATCTTGTTACGCCAAAGAAGTATAACTTTTAACGCGTGTACATAAGTACACACACGTTTTTCTTTATGTTAATTTCAGTAAGTATTATTAGGGCGAGTTAAGTACCGCGATTAATGTCTGTATTTATACACATTTTTTTGTTACTACGAGGTAATATACACAACTGAGCGTTTTTTAATGCATTTTTTGTCGATGTATTTCCAAACCAAATCGACTTAGGCTTATCGTTCCTTCAAGAAAGGAACGTACCAATTCTTAAAAGGCCGGCAACACTTGCGAGCTCTATGGAAATGAAAGTGTCTATTGGCGGCGGTATCAAACATCAGGTGAGCCTGGTGCCCGTTTGCCCCCGTTATATTTAAAAAAAATCTATGACGTTTTAGTATGAATTAAAAAATTTGTTAATTCCCGTCATACTCTTAAAATTATTGCCTTTATACAATTTATATTTTATGGATATATTTGCAATTTTTTTAATATAAATCAACGTTAAAAATATATTACAATTTCCAATTATATATATATACAGGTTTCATATTCCTTCGCCTTATATGCCCGGCCCTAGTGGAGCCCCGAGCGTGGGGCCTTCTTAGTGCTGCTCCACCACCACACGCCCAGAGGTCACTACTCATGGTTGCCAAATGTCTACAGAATCTTGCTAATCTCGTGGAGTTTGGGGCTAAGGTATTAAGAATAGTTAGTGATAGTTTTATAACTGGATTATTATAGTTAATAACTTTGTATTTAAAATATTGTTTTTTCAACTTTTTTAAGACTTTTAAAATCATGATACCGTTTTTTCATGTATCTGTGTATATATATAAGAAAATTTTATACATTTTCATATCTATTTAAAACATTTTGTTGTATTCAGAGATTATATTTAAAAAAAAATTAGCAACTCTGTTTATTGAGGATTTTATTAATAACAATCTTTTTCTCATTAACATTAATTATACAGAAAAGCATATTATAAAAAGCAATTTCAACATTTGGCCTGGTTAATCTATTTAAATGACCATTTCAATATACACAAGGCAAAGTAAAGTCATAAATTCTTTTGGGCTTCGAACAATATTTAAGTTTTATTCAATAAGTGCTGTGTAATATTTTTAGGAGCCATATATGGAAGTTGTGAATCCATTCATTTTGAAGAACAAGGAACGGATGGTCGTATTTTTGGATCAGCTCAGCTCAGTGCAAGACCCGGGAAACGTACAGACGAATTCTAACAATAACTTCGATATAGGTACGTTTTTATTTGTATTGTTATAACTTTTGAGTATGCAGGTATATTAAATCAGTTACACTTAAATCTGTGGCCATAGGTCAGAATATGATAAATGCAATTTAATTACAGGTCAAGCAATTAAATTATTAAGAAATTTTGAAGGCACTATTAAAATATGAAACTCGATATATGAATGAATGTCTGATCTATGACCACAGAATAAAAAATCTACATCGAGCAAATATCTTTAAATAATCAGTGCTTCCGAAAAACATTAAAATTTTTATTAGCTATGTTTTGGAACTACCTAAAACTCAAACTCAAAATAACTTAATTCATATAGGTAAACAAGTGCACTTATGAACGTCAACAGAAAAGATGTTAAATTGATTCTAAATTTACATTTACTACCAGTTTGCAAGTCAAGGGCGTAGAGCGGGCGTTTTTTTTTTTTTTTTTTCGTGGGGAAATGCTTAAGCCTTCCGGGGCAGCGTCCTGGTCCTTGGGGGGGAAGGGTTATGTGGGACTCGCACAACAGTGCATACCCACTAAAACCCCACGGCGCCACCAGCAATCGCCCGGGGCAGGACCGGTAACAGCGTGGCCTTGTCCGCATCCAGCCACCGCGATCAGCCGTTAGTATCACGGTCCGCTACGGCCACGAATGATGTGGGAATGGACCTTGGCACAGCAAGGGCCTTTCACATCGGCCAAGTCACCCTGTTTATAAAGCTGGGGGAGGTCGGGCAGCGATGCTTGCAGGGGATGCGTCAGCATCCCTTCTTTCGACGCATGGACCCCTGTTCCCCCGCTGGAGCAACTGCGTGCCCAGGATTACACACGGGGTGGGGTGCACGGTGCAGGGCGGCGGCGCTGGGGTGGGTCTCCTACGGCGACGCGGGGGGGGGCTGCAGGATCATCCTCCCTGGCCCTTTCCGCCTCTTCCTTTTTGTGCATGACGGCTTCACAGAATCTCTGGAAGATTTCCCACATGCCGTCACTGTCCGTGTTTGTAACTGCTACTTCACAATGTTATGAGGGTGGCGTCCTCGCCCTGTAGCACGCCCAGTAGAGGCCTCCTTTCCACTTCATGCTAGGCAATCCTTTAAGTGTGGAGGCGCATCATCAACAACACCAGGGGGGGGAGAAAAGGTGGGGGGTTGGTGCCTCCTCACGCCCGACTACCTTGTGCAGATAGCTGCCGAAACAGCCGTGTCCGGACAATATCTGCACGAGTCGGTAGCTGAGGCGGCCCCACCGCCTCCTCACCCATTTGTCGAGATGTGGTCTGAACGCGTTGATGGTGTAGAACCCAGCGCTCGCCAGTAGCTAGTTCTTCCGCCCACTGTCTTATTGCTTCGTTTTCTTCGGAAATTTTCCACGACTTGATTGCTCCCGGGGGGCGGGGGCCGGGGGGCGCTGGGCTTGGGCCTGGTCCTCCATTGTGCCTATCTTCGGCCCTGCCGGGGGGGGGGGGGCCGGGGGGGGGGGGGGGGGGGGGGGCCGGCTCTAACACACGCTGCGCCAAAAAAAATTGGGGGGGGGGGGGCGGGGGGGTGGGGGGGGGTGGTGCGGGCCATACGAAACCGTGCGGTACGCCCTCGCGACCCTAATTGCGATTACTCTCTGCGACTGCCTGAGGATGGTTTTGTTGTACCGGTTCAGCTTATCCGCCCATATTGGGCACCCGTACAATGCCTTCGCTCGCACTACAAGCCCTCGCTCGGCGCTGCTTAGCGTATAGGCGGCGACACTGCTCCACCCGGCCCGCCTAGGTTTGGCATTATGCGTGAGAGCATACCTGCTGTGGTAGGTAAGGTTGGGGGCAAGTGTCGTGAAGTGCGCCTTGAACGTCCACCGAGGATCTAGGACAAGCCCTGAGGTATTTGAGTGTGGAGCCGATCAGGATAGATACTCGCCACTATAATGCTTTCACCTTGTGGTGGCGCTCTGCGGTGGCGTGGGAAACATATCGCCTCCGATTTGGCGAGGGCGACTGTGAGATCTCGTTTCTCGACACAACTCTGGCTACTCCAGCAGTTGCGCGTAAGTCGCGCTTCCTTGTAATCCTGCCCACAAGCAACCACGAGTGTGTCGTCGGCATAGCAGATGAGTTGTCACCCCCCCGCGACTAGTTCCGCCCTGAGTACCTTGTCGTAGCCGATGTTCCATAGCAGCGGTCGCAAGAACGGACCGCCCCTGTGGAACACCGCATTTGATAAGTCGCTCCCTCTGAGACCATGTTTAGATGGGTAAACGACTCGGCGTCCTGTAAGATACGATGCAATACACTTTTGTATGTACTCCGGTAGCCCGTGATATTTGAGGCCTGCCTCGATATTTTCCCAGGGCAGTGTGTTAAAAAGCGTTGGCGACGTCCAACGATATTGCTAAGGCCACACCACCGGCGGGACAGCTCTCTTCGCACACTGCTCGAAGTCGAGCGATAGCGTCTATTGTTGATCGCCTCTTTCTAAACCCGAATTGCGCTTCGTGTATGTTAGGTGGGGGGGGCCCACAGACTCTAGGTGCTTGTAAATACGACCGGCAATGATCCGCTCGAACAGCTTGCCAGCTTCATCTAGCAGGACTATTGGGCGATACGCTGAGGGTGACTTGGGGGCTTTTTGGGGGGCGTACCCTAACTAATTGTTTTTTTACTATCAAGGATCAGGCCGAGACCTCATTCCCGACTTCATTTATCATGGTCATGCGAGTTCATTCAGCGAGAAACAAGTTTTTTAGTGCACAATAATATCGTTGAATAACATTCTGTATATTTATTTAGTTATTTAGTCGTGTCGATGTCGTACATCACACACAGTACTAAATCCACTAATTATTATACAAAATCTTACATCTAAAATGTGTGACAATTAATGTAAACATAAGTTTCACAAAAAAAAAATCACGAGAGGTGCCTGAACTCCTAGGTTGGTTTTGGCAGAAGGAATTTGGAAGATATTGTTGATTTTAAACCTATATTCCTATATTATTCTTAATTGCAGAAGAAATTAACTCAATATTCTGAATTACAGCCAAAGAGCTGGCGACAATTCATCACATTTGCGTGTCTCACCTAAGTGAGCTTCAGACTTTGTCGAAAAGTCAACCTGCTATAAGGAAACTGGTCACTGTAACGGAAATGCTGACGAAACACAAGCACAAGTATCTGGAGATGATCAGATAGGATACGCCTTTATGTCACACAGGTAATGTTCATTTTTAAAACCTCGTACATGTATTTCTTTTCGTAACCATATTTATGTGTGCTGTCCTTATTACTCTCCCGTCTTACCGAGTAAGAGAGGCGAGAAAGCATTATTTTTTATTTGTGGCTTATTTGTACGTTTGTGCTTGAGACTAGAGGTTATAATGTTAACTTGATTGTTATTGGTCGAGATGATTGACCAATCATAATCGAGCAATTATGGTATATTTATTTTACTTAGTACCCTTCACGGTAAGGTTTTGGTGTCAGGGGGGAAGTTTGTATATGCTTTTATTACTGAATGATCTTATCATCTTCTGCTAATCAGATTTTTTGAGTCAATAATTATATTAGTTAATCCAATCATGCTGAACACGCTGTGGTTCCCCTTCGTTGTTGACATCCCAAGGTCCTAACTGGACGATTTTACGTAAAAACATCAAAGTAGTGGGAACTCTTTCCCACCTTCCATATTCCCTTGACAATTTTTTCATTTGAGCGGCGGTTAAATATGTGCCTCACAGGCGTACCCAATAGCCCGTCACACTTAACACCAGGGCTTATGGCCAAATTAAAAAAAAAATAAAGAAACAATATACATCGAATTGTACTATGTACATACAAAATATTTTTTTTTTATTATATGTATAAAATGTTAATATATTTCGTTGCAGGGTAAAAGCAAGAAAGCGTAGAGGTAGTCGCCTTCGGGTCTTAGTCGTACGCGTGTAGTCATTTTAGCTTAAGCGTTTATTTCACTTTCACATTTGGGCGTTTCAATATCAGAAAATATATGCACGGAAATTTTATTCTAGTTGACATCGATTAAACATTATTAAGGAAATATTAAAAAAAATATATCAACGTGACGTACTAAACGCGCAGATTCAGTTTAAATAAAGTAATTTAGCATAGACTATAGAAATAGTGAAGTAGTAGAAACTGATTTAAAAACGTTTCATAGATGTCACTTGACCTGGAATAATGACCCATTGTGATTAAGACAATTTATGTTATAAACATTTTGTTTTATTTCGATAATACATCAGAATCTGTTTGATTATTTGAGGTTCTGTTCATAAAGATACGTGATAATTCAAATATCGTCTCTTTCTGTCATTGTGTGTTTATACCGTGATGAAAAGAGACAGATGAGTACTATGGTTATAACAGTAAAATAGGACTGATTTATTTTTTTAAATTGATTAATTTTGTAACGGAATTTGACGTTAGTAGCAAACGAAAATTCATTTTTTTTATAGTTGTGCATTATTCGATGTCAACTAGTTTCGTACTTCTTCGGTTTTATGTCTAACGTGCCAAATGAATATAATCATATTATTCCAAAAAGACTGTGACCATCATTGTCATACTTTGGAAATGGCGATTCCATGTAACAGTTTATTGCAAATGACGCTTTATTACATTGTCCTTAGGTTGAGAATTGTTAACTGTACCATCATATTTTGAGACGAACAGTTTCTTGAATGACATTGATTGCCCAAATAATGAGTGTAACGGTGGTACTCAGAGTAGTTAATTATATTATTCCTAAAGATGAACTCAGCCCAATTAGTTACCGACTGAAGTATATATTGGATCTTTCGTAATTTTACATCTTAACATGGCTTAAATAGTCTTTACTCTTAATGAACCACTCTGAGTACAGCTGAAAAACATGTGTATAAGCAATGCAATTCCATAATAATTTTTATATCACTGCCTAAGTTACAGAAATAGCTCTCTAGAATCTAAGTCGTATTTATTGTTAGTAGATTTAGGAATACGGAATTTATTATCTACTCCGCTTTTGTATTTTTTTATAAATCATAGGAGGTTTTAAACAAAATACCTCGCTACATATTCTAAAACTGCATTTTTTTGATAATTTTTGCGCTGAACTTAAATCCACTATAGCCAAGTTTTGATACTGGAACATGTCATGAACTAAAGACAGTACTTGGTGAGAAATATCGACCGTTGGAAACAGATAACTAAAGAAAAAACTTTTTAACCGGATTAAAGTTATGTATTATTATAAATTTACAATTATTTAACATAATTTTAAATTTATCCGACGTTTCGCGTGCTTTACAGCGTGCGTGGTCACGGTGACTGAAGACAAAAGGCGTTGGATGTCAAAAAGTATCACAGCTGTAGAGATAGTTTCATTATCTGTATTTATTTCCCCGGAGTTGGTATCGACTAAAAATAATTGTAAATTTATAATAATACATAACTTTAATCCGGTTAAAAAGTTTTTTCTTTAAATGTGTAAAGGTTATGTTAATCAAAGACAATACTATGAACAGATAACTAATTTCGGCTTGATTTAGCGGCCAACAACACAAGCATGGCCAATACAATAATAAGATTAAAATTGAGTAACTGAAGCCTATAAAGTCTCTCTTAAGAAATCAAGTTGCAGGTAAGATTTAAATCTACCCTCGAGAATTAGAAAAAAAATAAATCATATAGAAAACACAGCAGAAAAAAACTGCTTGAAAAGAGATTGAAATCGTGTAAGATAAAATCAATCTACGAAATCATAACTAGAAGAGAGTCTCTTTTCAGTGTTGTTTGGCAATATTTCTCGCCTAGTACTGTTTATTAAAGAATTTGCTGTTATATACAGCGCCCAAATTTTTTGCTAAAATGTATCCTAGATTTAGACTAGAAATATAAGGTATAGTTCGATCGTGATACACCAAAAATTAGGCGAATGGAGCTTTAGGTATACCAGATTCATGTTTTCATGCTCCGCACTTCCTACAATTATACTCTGTGATAGTGTTAAGCAAAACTTCCAAGACTTGTGTTATTTACTATACGTATTATTTTGTGTGCAATAAAACCTTAAATTTGACACTTTCAATTTGGTGTTGTAGAAATTTGATTCATGTTATGTAGAATATAGGTGTTCGGGCATTGTGTTGCCATGCTGATATAAGAAATTGAACAGATTTTTGTTTTCAAAAATTATTTATGACTCCGTCATTTACTAAATTTCTTGTTCTTGTGTAACTAAACTAGGAACGTGAACGATCGCAATCTGCTTATTTATAATTATGGTAAATTAGCATAAAAACTCAATGCCTTAATTTCCTGTACGAGATGAGCTCGTACAGATAAATTAGCTTGGAGGCGTTTCTGCATTTGTAATCTCTCAGTGAGTAAAACCGGAAGGAACAAATATGTTCCTGCGAATACGCACTGTCACCTGTCGCTTTAAAGTGAAGCGATATTTAATAAATATTATGTTGAACAGTAAGAACTAAAAAAAAACTAATTTGCTCGTAGTATGTACTACAAAGTACTAACGAAAAACGACTCCAAGCTGATTTGACTGTAAGTAAGTTATGGCAGAACAACAGGAGAAAAGATTGGTACGACAGGAAATGTTTTTTTAGTTTAATTTTTAATGCCCAATTTCATTGGTGATACGGCCTTTTGAACTTGCAGTAAGGGATTGTGTTATACGCATATAATTATTTCGATATTACGAATTCTCTTTGTGAATTCTTTATGCTCAATTTTAGATATTTCTTTATGGTGCCATACTCTTCGTAAATTATTTGTTGGACTGGTTTCTATTGTACTTAGAAAATTATCATAGGATTGGTTAACCATGTCGTAAAATATAACTAAAAGTTAAATATGATATATGTATGAGAAAAAGAACGTTATTTGCTTAATGAAAAGTAGTGGGTTATGTTTATTTTAAAGCCCACTTGAGCACTTTTATTCCTTATGGCATATAAATTTTTTACACAACATTCTTTTTATATACATTTGTATAATTTCTTTAAAACTTATGCCTATTAAACATATTTACTATTGTTCATAATTGGAATGTTAAAAAGATGACCCTAATTTTAATACATATAAAGTGACTTCTGAATAGGTACAATTTTTTTTTCCTTAAATTTTTAATACTAAAGTAAAATATATTTGGTTGCAATCATATAAATAGCTCCATTTACAGAATTGCATCGAAAACTGTAATCTATTTAGTAATAGCTTGTAGGTCTAGTGGATGTGTCGCTGTACTGTGTTAGCTTATGATAGGAGAATGTCTAGACTGATTTACGCTCCAATTATTAGATTAATAAGTATAAAGCACTTCATTCAAAATTGTAATCAAGTGATATTTTTTCAACATTTGGCCAGTTTGATACAAGAAATTTTCTACTTATTGCAAAATTGCAAGATAATATATTAGATGAGTCTATACATATATTATTTTATTTTTATTACAATTAATATTGTTTCTATACACAAAACTAATGTTTCCACAAAGTTTGAAGAATAGTATCGCTTTGACAGGAATTGTTTACAAGTATAGCCCAATATACATTAATAATGACAAAAAGTAAAAATAATAATTAATTTATGGGAAAACATTGGGTAAATATTGGTTTTGTATGTTATAATATAAAATAAAAATGCAATATGCAAATATCAACGCACAGCTTGTGCACTTGTTAACATCTGCATCCTGTGAAACTATTATTTTAAAAGTACATATTCTTTTAGACTGACACAATTTGATAACATTTAGTTGGTTTTTTTTGTATACATAGATACAAATGTAATCAAATTTAGCTTTAGATTTTGTGACTGTTCTATAATCTTTTTATATTCTAACCTTAGTATGTACTGTTTTTTCTATAAAATTTTTATCTGTGCTAGAACTCCAGAATCAAAATAAAATTCCCACAAAAAATATAATGTATTTTTATTTAAATACAACCCTTACATATCTAATATCTATGTTAGAAATAGTATGGTAAATGCCATAACAATGCAGCATACTGCTACATAAGGTGATTTTCTTTCACCAATCCTTGCACATTTCCAAAATGTTCCTAAAAATCTGCAATTATTAATCATAAATTTATACCAATGCAAAACTGAGGATAATTATTTGTATAATTTATAGCTTGCAATTTAATAGTAGCAGTGATATATTTTAAGGTTGCTATATATTAATTTGAAATCAAATCTTATTCAACATGTTTGTAGATTTTTAGTGAAAACTTACCCAGTTTTATTTCTATCCATAAGTGAGGGGAAAAACGATCTCAGGTAAGCACAAGTGCAAATTAACAGTAGAATTACTGATAAAAGACTTTGGAAGTTAAAAATTGCACTCTGAAACCAAGTGTTAAATTAAATATCCTAATTTATATAAACCACAATGCAATTATTTTTAAAGGAAAGACGAACAAAGGTTCATAAGTGGCAAATAGAGAAATTTTAAACTTACCATATTGAAGTTTTTAGATTTGTTTTAGCTAAATAATGTTTGTCTAATACTCATGTCGACATTAAAAATTTCTTAGTTATAGTAGTTTTATGTATTAATGCAGTTTAGGAATAATATTTTTGTATTATTATTTACGTTAAGTGGAATGTGGCAGACAACTGACAAATGACAAATCCGACAACTGCTAGTTTTTATTCAGGGCAAGTTAGATAAGACAACCACAGATATTGATAACTGAATTAGTTTCGCTCCAGTCAACTGTCACAAGACCATTCCGACCTGCGACAATTGTCAAATGCTATCGATTACTGACTGATGACAATTGGTGAAAAATAGGAGCATGAAACCAAAACATACAGATGGAAAGAAAGTGAAAAATAGTAGTACAAGATAGTTTTCAGGTAGGGGGAAAATTTTAACTTACACATTCATATTAAATGTGTTTAAGAACTATTTAAAATGACTGATGAAAAACAGGCCCTGGTAGAAAAAATCATTAAAGATGTGCATAACGTTTTGTCGAAAACAGCTGAGTTGTGAGTATTTAGTTTTTGTTCATATTTTGGCTTATGTCCAGTAAACTTAAAGAAAACGAAAGTGTAAACAATCCACAAAATTTTCCGTGTACTTCTTTCAGATATGCCTTCGATATTGTTCCTGTGGAAACGAATTTTAGGAATAAGTCTCCCGTGATGTGCATTGAAAATTGCCTGGGTTTGGAGTCCTGGTGTGTGAAACAAGTTTATTTGCACTCTTATACTGAACTAATGGATAAAGCGTGTTTTCAAACACAAAAGAAGTGCAGACAAGTTTTGGATTCTGAAACATTATTAAGATTACTTAATGTCACCCTCCTTATCAATCCTGATCTCTCTGTATTATGGAATAAAAGAAAAGAAATGGTTCAAGAATTGCTACTTGACACATCATCTGAATTAAAATTTACAAGATTAGTTTTATCAAGAAAACCAAAATGTAATGATGCCTTTTCACACAGAAGATGGATATTAGGAACATATTTAAACAGTGGGTTATTTCCATATATTATGTAGTCTTAGTCTGTACAATTTATATAAAATAAAATATTTTCAGTCTAACATAACAATCATGAAAAATATAAAATATAGGATAGGAATACCTAAATAACTTATAGAAACTTGTATTTTGTAATGTATCAATGTTCTTAATAAACTATTATTTTTCAGATCACCAGATAAATTATTTGGAGAGTTTAATTAACACAGAACTAATTGTATGTGATTTAACAGCAGACAAATGTCCTAATAATTACCATAGTTGGAGTCATCGCTTATGGTTTATAAACAAGCTAAAAAACATTATAAAGCAAAATGACATGCATGCATTATACATAAAAGAATATAACTTTTCTGAGAGGTGGATGTCAAAGCATGTTTCAGATTTTAGCTGTTTCCATTATCGTCAGTTTTGTATAAAAAATATCTACAACTTAAGTAACGTATCTTGGAAAACTTTTGAGAACTCTTTAGATATAAATTTTCGTAAAGTGCTTGTTTGTCTCCTTGCTAAAAATTTTCCTAAAGATAGGACAATTCAAGCATCAGAACAAGACTTAGTTTCATATTCAGAAGAGAATCTAATGAAGTTTTTGCTGTCTTATAATAATAGTTGTTCGTGCAATGTTGACAGTGTATCATTATGTAGGAAATTTGAGCTACTATGCTATGAACTCACACTTAATAGTGAGCTGCTCCGATTCTATAAACATCATGAGAGTATGTGGTATCATAGACGCTTTATATTGCATGAAATTATTGAAATGATGTATGATCATTTTGGTTTGTTTCGACATAATGGAGTGCTTGTAAAAAAAAGCTGTAAATATTGTAAAACAACTGATCTAAAACAAAAACAGGCAAAGATAATTCGATCTCATGGTGACTGTTTGTATAAAAGTGTTCTCTTTCAAGTAATAATAAAACATGAAAAAAAATTTATACAAGAAAGCGAAGAAGACAAACATGCAGTTAGACATGAAAAATATTTGAAGCTTATTCAAGGATTAAACAATCTTATGTAATTTCATTGAAGAGAGAACCAAACTGGGGTCACTATGGCCCCTCAAATAAGATTGATACAACTCTTTTTGATACCTTGACACAGAGCAATATAAATGCTCATACAATTGTAAGATATTTCAAAACAACAATTTAAAAATCTTGTTGGCTATGATCTCCTTTTTTCTGCTGCTATTTGACATCAAATATTGCAAGGAAGTAGCCAACGCAACTCTTTCTAAAAATTCCTGGACCGATTTGGTATTCTGAGAACGCACTCTCGAGGGTTACGTCGCTGTGGATTAACTTCATCGTATTCCAGGACAACGGGAGATACCGCCCGTTACTCCTGTTTGTAGCATCGATATTAGGATTCCTACAACTTTTGTATTATATATGGACTTTATATTGTAGCTTAGAATTATTATTGTACTATTTATGCATACTTATAAATTGTTTTTAATAAAAATTTATGTTTTTTATTATACTTTTTGGTTAAAAAATTTATAATAATTTAATACCTTGATGTGAATAAAAAAAATTAAAGTAAAAAAAAAAATATTATTATAATACATAAATTTGTTATAAAAATTTTATATTTTTAAAAAATTATTAATTTTATATTAAATTTGTAGAATAAATATATAATATATATATTTTAATAAATAGAATTTATTAATAAAAATAAAAAAAAATATATTAATTTTAAATTAAAAATTTTTTATATTAATAAAAAATTAATAAGAATAAAATATATTGAAATATATTGTACTAGCTTTATCATGCTCCGTATATTTGATTATCTATTTTTGCTCTAGTTATGTCTGGCATAATTTTTTTCAGTTTCATTATTTATTAACCATGGAGGTGCTCAGCTATTATGCGACAGAACTTTATTCAAATTTGAAGCCTTGTTGAGGGGTTGTTTTACTTTTACTATAAAAAACTATATTTTATAGTTTTTAAACAAAATTAACCATTGACGATTAATGACTAATACTATTACAAACTACGAATTAATATGCACCGAGTAGTGTTGGTTTAATATCTTGAGCATGCGAGCATTGCTCTCAACCCTGTAACCCTGTAGTCCGTGGAAATCCCGGCTTGAAAAAGAAATGGATTAGATAGATTTTTCTTTTTATGCGCCCTATTAACACTTGATCGTACGGTGAAGGTTAGCATCGTAAGGAATCCGGAATGGCTAAGACCCAAGAAGACTTACCCCATCCAAAGGAAGTAATAATATATGAAAAATATATCTTTCAGAAGCTTTATATAATAAGGTTTACAAAGCGTTGTTGTGGCTTCTTCGAAAAGCGTTAGTTAAAGGGCGGTCTAAATTATTATCGCCACTAAAATATTAAAATACAACTAAGATGGGCCGTGGCCGACACGCCGTGCTTTTTTCCAAGGCCTGAACAAATTTAATAAACCATAATGGCACGAATCAATAAGCTTGTTATCCTTTTCTTTAAAACACACTTTATTTAAAATTATAACGAATAAAAAGCATTCAGAATTATTACAAAAAGATTTTCTATTCAATCGGCGTTCCATTGTTTAAGCCTTAGGATTCTGTCAGGATTCAGGACGTTTTAAAATTGCATACGCATTACATAGTCTTCTGTTACTGCCCCTTATATGGGTCAGGAGGTTTCATACGCGCTAACACCTTCCGTTCTGAACTGAATAGATCGAAGCGAGCGATTGCATCTTGCAAAACGTACTTTAATGTGTCCTAGCATGGTAGCAATTGGGGTGAAAGAAATATCATATATCACAATAAGAAATGTGTCGCTAGTGACGTCACAACCGCGTCCCGCGTTTCCCGATCGATATTGTATTCGAGTATTTCCGTGGAAAATCGGAAGAAGGCAAGTGACGCTCAGCGCTGACACCACGTGCGAATTACATCACTGATATTGCTACAACTCATTGAGGAAGATTTGTTAACTCCGAATATTACATAAGTTTCATGAAAGTTTGTAAATACTTTTATAATACAGCCGTAAAGTTTAGGAAAAGTATACATAAGTTACGTAGTTTCTATGGCTTCCTGTGTTCACTGGTGTTAACTGAAAAATTCTGGTTTTCATAATGAACTTTTGAAGATTGAAATATTTAAATGATATAGGTTCAAATCCTCGTCCATGGATTTCAAATATTAACATGATTGTAATAAGATAATATTAATTTAGATTGATTGATTATAGTGTGCAATACGAAAAGATTACATTAAATAATATTTTCATTATTTAATACTTTGTTTTATAAAATTTTAAAATATAGCTATTAATTAATAAGTAGTAATTTAAAGAAAAATACTGTACTTATGTGTTGCTTGCGAATAACCTTATTACTCATGTATGCAAAATATACGAATATACTTCATTATATAAAAAACAGTAGTTACAGATAACAGAAAATCTTATATTCTATTCCTAATTCGCGCAGGTCGACTTTATAATCATAAGAGAAATAATAACATAATGTACGAGCTTCCTTTAACAGAGGAAGGAAGATTAGGGTTGCTTAATATAATAGAGTAATTAATGTTCTGCTTTGTTAGAATTGAATTCTGGGAAATATTTTTAAGTACCTTGATTTTATTGTCTTAGTTAAACGAAACAATTCATAAATATTTTATTTGGAAAAATAATATATATGTTAGCGAGTTAGTAACAGACCAAGAAAATAACACGTAAGTGCAAAGGCATCGCGACCGGAAACTGCAAATAGCCTGCCTACGTGTTCGCTTATGGGCTACGTGCAATGAATTTTCCAATTATAACTAAGTAGGCATTTTCGACATGTCGATCGTTTTTGTAAAAGGTCTGCCTTTGTCGTTTTATTGTATTTTCATTGCCAATATATTCGAAAAGTATTAGACAGAAATTCTTATGTAGTACTTCATCAGTAAGTACAGACACAGCTATTTATAAATTAATATTAATAATTTTGTATCATACAACCAGATGTTCAAACGGCGTCTATGGTCTCTGTAGGGTTCAACTCTTGAGCAGGATCTGGAAGTAAAGGTCAAAAGCACCCACCGACTGGCGTGTATAATAAATATTTGATAGTTTAAGATGCAAGAGAATATCTTAGCTAGTGGAAATTCTAGTGTTCACTAATGTTCACTGATTTTTAAAACACATTAAAGACAACATATTTTGTAGATGGTTTATTTAGTCATTCGTGTTTCAATAAGCTTTAGTAACGAGTTAAATAGATCAGAATCACATATAATTGCATTTCTCGTGAAATGAATAGACTAATCACTAAACAATCAATAATAAATTAAACTACTCACTTGTTCTTGACCAGTAGTAGCTGACTTAATAAAATATTATACAATATCTCTGGAGGCGAGAAAAGCTCAGTTACCTATAAACCAGTTAGTATCTGCATCGTTCTAGGACTAGGCCAGTGCAATAATTGCATCCAGTTTAACCGGGTTCGATCGATGTGAGGGTATTTACCTCGCCGGGCGAAAATAATCCGGGTGCCGGTGATGTCAGAAGACGTCCCGACCGCGCATGCGCGCTCTACGTGAACGTAAAAATGTGTGGATGCGCTTTCGAAGCCTTATTACGAGTCGAGCTGACACACCGAGCTTTCGTTGAGCGAGTGGCGCACTGCGTGCGGTCGGTGGTGCTTTTAGAGGATGTTTGTATGTGCGTGTCTGTGATGCGATGAGTGAAAATGTCGTTATCGGGGCAGCCGGCCGGCGGAGGCATGTCCTGCGGTTTGTAGGTTGATGGCTCGGCGGGGAGAAGCCGGGCGTCAGTCGGTCGCCGGGCCGCGAAGAGCCGGGCGCGCGTGTGCGAGATATGGCGCCCCGCGGCGGCCGGTGAGGCGCCGGCCCCGCCGACCGCCTCGGGTCGACGGGCCAGCCAGGCCAGACGGCCACTCGTCCCACCATGTCCTTGCTCAGCGTCACAGGTAGTATTACTTTCGCGCCACTTAACAATCTCTTTGTTTCTCTCCACTGTCGTTATGGACGCGCCTACACAATAGAACTAAGTTATATGGAACGAATCTTACATTTTTAATCGTTACAAGACGTAGCGATCGTAGCTAACTTCGTAGCGGGTTAGATCGTAGTAGATTTGTGTTTACATATACCATTTATTTTACCCCCTATCTATAATTTCCGATAGAATGGTAGGCTTACGTAAATAAGATAATAGTTTTATATGTAATGTAAGTCATAAAGCTTCATGAAAAATATTTTCGCGCTCTAGTGAAGTCAAAAGAACTAGGTCAGCAAGAGTGCTACAGTCTTTTCATATAAATTATACACTTTATAGTTTTTGTAGGATTGACAACCATGTAAAATGTAATTTTAATTATACGAGCGTACAGTTTATATTTATAATATCTTAAATATAGCAAGTAGTTACGTTAAGACTCGTAAAATGTAAAGCAAGTACAAAAGCAATTTACTTTTATTATAATTGACGTAGGAACAAAAAATATAACAAAACATCTCGCAAATTCATGAGACGTAAAGAAAACGTATGGTATTAAAAATAAAGTAACTTTTGAAACCCAATTATAAAAAAGCTTAGCACAGAAGAAAATTCAAAATTCGAATACAATCCTTCGGAGGACCTTAGTCTGTCGAATGAAAATAAATTGAGAGAAACAGGTTGAACGACCTGAAATCAAAGTAAATATTCCAATTTATTCTCCTAAAGCTCAATATTCTAAATTCTGCAGCCATTGCATTTGGGGCTTTACTATTGGGACTTTATGTTTAATATTGCCTACCATTATGTAATTGCACGTTATTCAGTATATTTGCGAATAAATTTGCTTTAGTTAGGAATTGCGGTTTTGGCTATTTGTGATCAATTGAATGCGTTAATTTTGGTTTAAGATAATTGCTCGTTACTTATGAAAACGTTTTCTATGCTATTTACTTGATACGGAATGACTGAAGCTATTATTTATTTTTATTTATTTCCAATTTTCACAGTAACTTAATACTTATACAATAGAAAACTTATTAATATAAAAAAAATACTAAAAACATAAGATATTCAAAATTAAATTAACAATACACACTGTTTCAGATCACTTATGTGAATATTTTATACACAATTGTTATTTATTTTCGCATTAAGAAGATTTTTTTTAATGTGAATGTGATTGAGACTCTTGTCTAATATTCAATAATTTACATAATTCTGTTACTAAACCTATGCTCATTCTGACCTATATAAAAAAAAACTACAATGTTTATCACCTTATCGTGTTGTTGATATATATATATCGATTTTAAACATTATTATAACACGAGAGGTGTCTACTACTAATTTTATTAGTTATTGTGATTTGTAGCGCATAATTTAACTCAGAGAGCACTCCTACGCAATACCTCACACAGAGAACGTTCCCTGATGAAAGATAGACAATTTGCATAAAACTCTAAGTTTAATTTAGTTTAGTTTCTAGTTCTGATTTTGGTACCTAACTAAATTGTCGAAACTGTTACGTAAAGCTAAGTTTTGATATTTATAAATATTATGTTATACGAAATCAGTCCGTGGAATCTGTTAGAACAAAGTATATTTATTAGCTTTAAGTTAGTATAGAACAGACCGAGACTTCTTTGAAATGTTGAATTAACCGAGTAAAATACTAGCATTTATAGCAGGAACTATTCAACGTTTTATAAAGAATTTCTTCGTAAGAAACACGCAAGTATTATGAATATAAATTTTACATGAAGCAATGAAACGACTTCTATACAAGCATTGGACTTACAAGTATAAGTATTAAGTAGTAGTACTTCAAGCCTGGAACTGTTTAAAAATTTAGCTTACCAGATTAAATATTTAAAAAAAGGTCAAAAATTATTATTAAATGTCAAATCTCTAGTTATTTTACTTATTCCGCTGGTTCAAATTGTGTCCATAAATATAGAAGGTTCTTGGTTAATTGTGCCTTTAAACTTATAAGATTCCCTGACGTTATAATGATAGTTTCAAATTGCAGTGTACTTATATCCTAAAGATTAAATGAAAATTCATCACTAATATAAACCCATAAATGAGAACATCTAATTTGCCATTTCAGTACTTCTTCCTAATATCAACACGGTATTTAATAATAATATAAATATTACATTATATATTTCCTAGCAAATCATTTAAATGCAAAACACTTAGAAGAAGCATGAACGACTTAAGTTTTATAGCCACTAATAATACCATTATAGTCATTATAGTTTTATCAAATTAAATATCAAGATTAAACTTTTTATTCCTTATCACATAATTATATTGTCCTATCATGTAATTAAGTAATAGTTGTTTAGGTAGGTACTTATTGTGAATCATATGTATATACTTATTAAATAAAATGGATAGCAATCAGGCATATTATTTATTTCTTTTCTTCGAAAACCGAAGCACCCGTTAGATTTCCCCAAAGACGAGAGCGCTCTTTCATACCGGCTCGTACGACTTAAATAAAAAAAATAGAATTCCCGAGACTTATTTTTCTGCAGAAATATCGAGCAACGAATAATCGTTTGACCTTATTAATTGTTAGAAACATCTTTGTAAAAGAAATAAACTTAATAACGTCGACTTTAAAAAACCTATATCAAATTACTTTTAGATCATAAGACAAAAGAAAATGCGTCATTTATATGAAATAATATCAAGATGTCCATGCCCTTTGACTTTCGAGCAAATTAGTAAACGTTTAAAGTAACTTTAACCTTTGCTAGATCACAATGTTAAGCCTACGCTTGCGCGTGGGCGGGATATGTCACAAGTGCTTTGTAGAGCTGCAGATTGGTTTGTTTAATTGAATTTTGTTCTGAATATATTACGAATATTAATGAAAAAGATAAATATATCATTATTTGGCAATTTCTTATATTCATTTTATATTGAATTAGATATTTTCGTGAGTTTCGTAATAATGATCGCGACTTATACGTACAAAATCCAAAGAGATTATTATTCTAGTTTTTAATTCAAACAAATGATTTGCATCCTAGATTACACAATTCTATGCTTTTATTTTTTCATTTAGTAAATGAAAACGCGAAAGACAACATTTGATTTGATTTGAAAGTGTTTCAATTAAAACTGCACGCGAACAAAACCATTCAAATGAATACGCAAATATTCTGGACTTCGCATTTTGTGTTCGAACCGTTTCTTTGTATTCTTTTTTACGTTTTTGAAGCCAAATAGGTCAGTGGTTCCGTATGCTTCGACTGGAATTATTGTTCTATATAGCATGAAAAATGCTTGGAAATTAATAGGGTATTAAACGCGACAGTACATAACATAAATCGTCAGGAAGCAGGATATTTTGCTGCATTTTCCAGTGAAGTGTCTCTTATACTTAATGCCGTTTTATTTGCACTACTAATGAACCCATCATTTAAAACTTAGTTAATTTTATACTTAAAGGTATGATTTACTGAAATGTTCACTGGGAAGCGGAAATAATTTTGTATTTTGAAGCTTGATGTCGGAATAAGAGAGAATTCAAATTGAGTAATTCCCAGTGGTGCAGCATGGCCTGTATACGATGTTTTACTACTATTTTTCTATAAAATAAAATATATTTATTAACATAATGTTCGTTCGTGTAATACTATTTCAGGCGTTTTAAGAAGAAGATAACAAGACATTGGGCTTACTTTTGTAAGAACAAATGCAACTCATTTCTCAGTTCTGTCAATTAAATGCTACTTAATATTTTAAATCTAAGGCAGAATTTTATATAACACTTAACCTTTCTAACGCTAAACGTCTTGTCCTGCATAATTACAGATTTTGAATGTTTGAAAGCGTCTTATTATTTACTTTAATTAAGCAAAAGCTCAAGCTTAACTTATAAATAAAATAAATGTCTTTAATTTTAAAACAGGTACAGTTGTTGTAAGTACCTGCTGTTTGTTTGCTGTCATAAGTTATAAATCAGCCAAATAAAGCTCGTCGAATCTCAAATTATAATCTTAGATCGTAGTTAAATGTCAAAGTATATATAAAATAATAGATGAAATTAGATAGGATTCACCACAATGTAATCTAAAATCTTCTTTAACGATTTCTTTTTTAGGTAGTTTTAATAGACTTCAAAAAATGGGTGCAATCAGTATTACGAGTTAGATATTCAATGAGGTGATCCTTTTTTATTAAAATCTTCAGAACAGTCATACAATTTCTAAATTTTAAGTTTAGCATTTCTGGTGGATGTGTTGGTTTTTTTAATTACATCTATTATCAGACTAAAACATTTGACTATACATTTGATAGTGTTATATTGATAACTGTATAGCACCACTTTACCCCTTTAATAGGTGAGACGTGACCTAGCAAGGAAGGCAAGCGAACTGAGAGCCGGTATTACTCAGAATATTTAATGTGCTCACCTGCCTTGGGGTATTTTTAGCGAAGCACACTTGTCTTATAAATTATGCATTAAGATTTGACAGTTTAGATTTTAAAAGTAAAAACTGCTTTTGTGAGAGAATATATTATGTTACCCTATTTTAAATATGTATATATTTTCTGCGACCTTTTAAACAAATGAAAGCAAAATATCAACGCATGAAAAGGCCGTTTTACAAAACTCCGTGATCACAAAACAATATTTTTATTTTCATCACTCGATTTCGCATAATTTCATGATTACGTCACCCGAAACGTAAATTGTTTAAAACTCATTATCAAAGATATAAAGGCCTACCATTGTTTATAGTAACGTTAGTACGATTCGATTCCCAGCTATATAAAAAATAGTTTCGTATAGTTTAGAAGAAGAAATATCTCCAGAAGATATATCTCCTTATTAGAATACATTTTGTTAACTAGAGCTTCTTTATTCACAGTAATAGTTTCTCCGAGACATTTCGTTAATTATGAATACACTGTGCAATCCTCATTTATACCCATGGAATACTTCATTCAATATATATGTTATAAATACTTTAAAAAAAAGAAAAACGTTACGCATTCGACAAAAAAAACTCTATGGAGTTCCATTTAGCAAAGTATAAGTGATGTGGTGACTTGCGGGTTTTTTGTGACAGTGTTTAATTACCCACGAATCAAACGAATATAAAAATATTTGTAAGATTTTTGTGTAACGGTTGAATATAAATTTGAACATAGTTAAAGTGTATTTCTGTGGCTGTTTCATTTTACTTAATAGACAAGTGACTTAACTATTTTCCCTTAATGATGTCTATTTATTAGCAGATTTCTATCATGCGCTACCAAACGCACATAAAATGGAAAAGTATAAACTCAAACTCAAAATATCTTTATTCATATATATATTATATTTATCGGCGCATAGCTGGATTTAAATATAATTTTGGGCTAACACAATTTTTGTATACTTATTTTTGATGAATGCTTAAAGTGTTTGTTTAAAGCAATCGTGTTTCTTTTTTGTTGCTTAATTTTAAGTAAATAAATTATATGTCTTCCTCAAATAAATATCTACAAATAAGTTTATTTGTAAAAGGCCAAAGATTAAGTAACGTATGAAACTGTAGCATTCTGTGAACTGATATAAATCAATTTTTAACCTACATTCGTTTATCAGATCAACTTGAACTACACTTGTTGTTATCATGATATAGATTTTGTTATGTTGATGTTAAAATTGAATACTCCTATTTATATAACGTTAAACAAACCTTTGCTTTGCTATGAACTTCACTCATTGGTCTAGTGGTTAGTACCCCTGACTGCGAATCCATGGGTCCCGGGTTCGATCCCCGGCTGAGACGAACATCGATGTGATGAGCATTTGGTGTTGTGCTTAGGTCTTGGGTGTTTAAATATGTATTTATATGTCTATCTATCTATAATATGTATGTATATCCGTTGCCTAGTACCCATAACACAAGCTTCACAAGCTTAGCATGGGACTCGGTCAATTGGTGTGAATTGTCTTTAAAAAAAAAAAATATATGAAGATACGACCTTGAACTTAGTTATTTTTTGTGAGTATTTTTGTTCAAATTACTATTTGTTGCCGTGTACGTGACTATAATGCTATTAAATCTTACTTCTGTTTTATTCACTTACGTGTAGATAATCAATTCAGAAGTTTCAAAGATAATTTCTAACAAATTCTCACGTAATTTAAAAAAAAACTCATGATAGTCACACTTTTTAAACTAAACTATTGTTTTGTCTGCTGAAAAGAAAAGAAAATATCGGTATTATAAAACAGTACAATTACACTGATTTATTGTTTATGAGTAATATTACCTACCTTTTTCTAAAATTCTGTAGATACATAATAAGTGCTTTGTTGAAACGTTACAGTCCGCAGTAATATTTAAATAGTAAAAACGCATTTCCGTCACTTATTTTAATTTGAATGAATTATTAATTAATATTGTAGATGCTTATAAGTGCCGCATTAATGACTTTATCGTGCAAGCTTCAGCGCAAAAGTTTGAGTGGTACTTAAGCGAGATTTCAGATTTACGAATGTTGCTATATTACCTTGAAGCAAATATCAATCACATTATCTCGTTTTTGACGTATAAAAATAGATTTTAATTTATTAACGAATATTTTAAATAGTATTGGCCTAGTGGCTTCAGCGTGCGACTCTCATCTCTGAGGTCGTAGTTTCGATCTACAGCCGTGCACCAATGCACGTTTTGTCAATGTGTGTATTTAACACTCGACATGTGTTAATCAGAAGGCTTATCACCTACCAGTCTAGGAGATAAAAATTATCATAGAAACGGACGCAATCAGAGATCAAGACCCGTATGGAGTTGTAGGGCCACTGTAGGGCATAGTTTTGGTGTAAGATATATCGGTTTGCTTACAATGTTGTGCTTCAACATACGCGTAAGTGTTAATTGCGCACATACTAAGAAGAAAACATTTTTCTACATTTTGCTACATCGTCTATTACTTCTTTGGTATTTGGTAAAGCTAGGTAGTTACAAATGGAAAAAATATCTGTATCAAATTGTAAAATACCTGAAGTAGTTAAGATGTTAATTAAATTCAATTGTAATGCTCTTGTATAGAAATAGGGCACCGGAATAAAATGTAAAATATTCGGCGCACGATCTGCATTGACGGCGGTTCCTAGCTTTAAAATTGCAGGAGCCTATCGTTGCCACCACAGAATAAGAATGCTTGAGATACCTCAGCACGTATCACCGTGATTGCACTACACCGGTTTGAATATATTCTACATTTTGACAGATCTGTCAGTCTCTTTGACAGATAGATTTTTTGTGAAATGCAGTATTTTGTGATGCGGCTGCTATAAAATGAAGCATGTAATACCGAGTGTTCGAAAGACAGATATTTTTGAAAACTTTGTTGGTTTTTATCGTTTTGATGTTTAATTTAAACTATTTTTGGCACGATGATGACAGAATATAGATTATGTATTAATGATATATTTGTAATGATTAACATCCATTATTGAGTATTTTACAGACATAATATCCATATCTGTCTGACACGATTGATTTTTGAGTCTTCTCAAAGTAATCTCATAAATTATAGTAATCTGTGGCACATCCGGGGTTCAAACGCGCGATCTCTGGGAAAGAAACTGTAATCAATAATTACGTTTTAATTGCTGTAACTTTTAAGGTAAATTTTCATTAAAAGATTATCTCGTGTCGTGACGAGTTATATATTAAATTTAAGTCGAGGACATATTTTTTCTATAATTAATACTAATATACGGCAAAATCAATGTTCTTACAAAATCGATACGAAAACTATCGGAAACTACCGGCGTTCTCTCGTAAGTTTCTTACTGGGGACATACATAATATGCTAATGGATATGACGTGTGTCGGTGACGTTCTTGTACTACATGTATCAAATAACCTTGTTGTTCCCAGCACTCAGCCTTTTGAGCGGCGGCGCAAATGGCGCAGCGATTTTGTATAATTTCGTTGTTCTTTGTTCAAATTATAATTGAGAAAGTGTATATTCTGAATTTACTATTTTCCAACGTTTGCGCAAATTTAAAAAAATAAATATTGTCAAATATACAATACATTGTTTGACATTGTAAAATATAAATGAGGATTTAATGAAGTAGTCATAAAACGTAGCAGTACACAAATGTACTACATATATATATACCACACATGATGGTTTCGACATTCACAAGGGGAAGTTTCGTTCATAAGCTCCAATAATGTAAGAAAATTTGGAATCTATACAAATAAAAATGAATGTAAAATATGTTGCTAAGCGCAAAAATCAAAGACGGCAGAACCAATTCGAGTAATCTTTTTAAATTTATTTCTTAAACTCTGAAGAAGGTTTTCATGGAGAGAAAAATTCACGAAAACCACATTAAGGTTAAACAATGTTCACACAAAATAAGAAAAAACTATTATTACTAAGGTTATTAAAATTGTGGAGTCGTTGTATTCTTATATACTATAATAGATAGCAGATGCTCAAATTATAATTTGAAATAGAAATAACAAAGATCTCAATTATTTTATAATGAGGCCGCATTTGATCTTATTTGTTGCGGCCCAATTATTTATATCACAATTTATAAGACATTGAAACTTTCATTATTTTGTAAATATTTATTAAACTTTGAACGAAGTATTATACTGTTCACTAATTAATTCTAGCATAAAGCGAATTACTTTATGTTTCATAAATGACGTATACTTTTAAAATTAACCACAAGAACATTCGTATTATTAATGTATTTGTCTTTGAATGCTTAATATTAATTTTTAGATTAAGAACTGTTACCATTGTTCACGTATTCATTGATAATATTTATCTGATTATTGTAATATATTAACGTAACAAATGTTAGAAGACAGAATGAGAATGATAGATGAAGAAAGACCAGTAATGCAATCATCACTTAGTTTTGTAAGTGGTTATAGATGACTAAAAGAATATAATGTAATTATTTAAAGCTTCCAACTTTGATAAAAACTATTATTATTCTTATCTCATTGCCTATATTTATAACATATGACTTCTTCAATCTCTTTGCGATGCTTGATATAATATTATGGAATGATTTACATTCATTCCATAATGTAAATATACATATTAATGGTCTTGTTTGCAAATCATAAAGCAGAATTGTCATTTGCAAATGGATGTAACGAGTGCTGGGTGCTCGAATCGTGGTCTGAAATGACCTTGTCTCATGAAGTCGACCTTCAGGCCGTTCATTTTTTATATTTCTGGATTCATAAATGTATCTACAATAAATCTGAATAAATATTTGCTGCTTACAGTAGTGTTGCATAAAGTAAAAATACGACGAGACTTCACATGTTACAAGTAGATTTGAGCATTAACGTAGAGGTTAAGTGAGCTATCTTGATATAGCAATGGGTCATGGGATATATTTTTCTATTGATCTTAATCATTTCACAGCCCCTTTTAATCCAATATTGTTTTGTAAGAATTGAATTCATGTTAAACCCTTTATATAAACGAAATACTTGAACACTGAATCATAAAGTCATTAGTCAACAATCGAACTTACTTTATTTATTGTCAGTAATAAAGTATTCAAAATAATGGCGAATGACTTGTGTTTAAAGTCCACTCGCTAGTTTCACACTTCATTGTCATAGTGACGACAGGCTGAAATTCTTCTTACTAAAAGTTTCTCTCTTAAAATCATTAATGTTTTTACAGACTATTAATAGAAGTTTCATGAATCAGTATATACGTCAGAAGTCTAGTTGCTACGGAATGAAGACTATAAAATTAAAATTTTTCGAAACTAAAGCAATAGAATATCTCTGTATCAATTAAATAGTCGTATTATATCCATGGAAGACCTACTGGGCATCGTGAAAGTTTGCCTGTATCTGTATCGTGTAGAAGGGGTTTAGAAGTAAAAAAATCGTTTATTTTAACCGAAACAAAGATTAGGTATAAACCTATGTATAGTATGAAAGATTTTACGGTACAAGCTATATATATGTATATTGTGTAACAATTTCTAGGTACAGACATCAGCCTATTACAATTGTATGTATATATGTTTCGAGAATATATCCTTCCTATATCTAATATCTATCTTAACATATCCTTATATAGACCAGTGCAGATAGCCTTTAAAATAAATAAAAAGTGAAAAAAATTACAGTAGGATGAAACCCATTAGAAAAGCAGGGGAGTATGATCAAAATAAAAGGAAAAATAAATTAGGTCATCTGAGTGGAAGGGTGGGGGAGTTTTAAGGGTAAAAAAGGTTTATCTCGATTTGGAAAACTAAAGTCCTATCGAAGAAAGTTAAATGGCAAAGTTGGAGGTAATAAAAAGATCTAAAACTTTTGTATTCACACATTTTTCACATAACCTCAAAATTTATGTGAAAAATTCAAAAACCAAGATTTTGGTTTTTAATTTTTATCTTAACAAAAATATTTTTAACGAAATTTGGTGAAAACTTACCTTTCTATGTCCCAAATACACTGTAATTTATTTGATTAAAAATATTTATTTGTTCCCCTTATTTTGAATTAATATCGAAAAAACACCCTAATTTTCAATCGAAAATTCTGACGTCAAAATTTCAGCTTTTTCAAAAAGTTGGTGTACTTTCAGGTGTTGAAATCTCTACTTTCCTAT